CTTTATCATTATATTAACTTTAAAACAGACTTGTAGTTAACTGTAATTTAAAATTAGTTATTTTCAATACATAAAGGATAGTTACTTATAACTATTATATGAGTCACTGGCTCACCTGTAGTGACTGTCTCTCAATGTTCAGTCACATTGGTCAGCAGTTCAAAAGCTTACAATGGACATAACTGGCATATAAGTCTCCTTCACTAAAGTTATGCTTAGTTCAATGACAAGCCACTGGGGTCAACAGAGTTCACTTAAGTGTAGGGAAGAATATTTCCTCTCCACTGCTTGAATTGCTATATGAAATTGTGTGTCACACCAGAGTCGGTCAGGATAATCATTGTGGTACATTCTGGTCCTCAAATCTACACATGTTGGACCTATCTCCATGTAATTAATTAGAACCATATGCTTGTAGAAGTGAAAAATTTGCTGAATATATCAGAGTCTGGACTCCATTTCAAAAGTGCTCTAAAAAAGGATGAGCTGTCTCTAAGCCATTCTTTTCCCCCCAGTAAAAATCTGATTAGTTCAGGGGAGGCCAGCTCACCCAACGCTTTCATTTACAAACTCAAATATATGTTCCTATGTTTCTACTCAATGGCTCTCTCACATTAGTTGTGGGTTTTTGTGGGGATTTTTGTTCTGTTTTTTAATTTTTGTTAATCTATGCTCTTTGAATAGGTTGCAAGCTTATAAAGCTATCTTGCTCTTATTTTTGAAATAGTAACATCTTATTGCTACTTTGGTATCAAGCATAACTGATTAATAAAGATATACATTTCTGTTTATTTTCTTATCTTATTATGCTTGAAATAAGAAATTTCACAAGGATCTTTAATATATAGGCTTTGTGTACACTCACAAGTGCACTATCTCAACAGACAATAACATTGCCAAGAGAGGCATGGTTTATTGTGTCAATGATCCTTGAACTAAGAAGCAGTTAAGTAGGCCTTGACATGATCCTTCATAAATAGCCCCTTCATAACTTGTGTACAAACGAATCTTGTAATAGGCCTTGAAAGCATAAACTGAAACTACTCCTTACTATATCAATAACCTGTATATTAAGGAAAATGATATACATCTAAATCTACACATTAGAATCTGCAAACAGATTAGAGAAATTTGAGGCCAGTTTTCTGAAAGCTTAGAAGCTACTCATGGTATGGGGACTTAAACAATTTGGTGGAATATTTCATTTTGGATTCCAGGGCTTTGGAGCAGTTCAAAATTAGGGTTTAAAATACTCATTTGATTTCCAGCTACTTTTATTAAAACATCCTTTGGAAAATGAGAATGTTAAATGAAAGGCTACTAACTCTCATATTTTAGTCCTAAAACCATCTTCTGAAAGATCTGAGCTAATGCTGCCTTGGCCAGAGCCTAACATACCCACAGGGAAGTGTCCTTGAGCTTGTGAAAGTAAATAGGACTAAAGCCACAACTTGAAATAGTCATCAAAGTTGTGGATAATTATAGGGGACAATGACCACTCATATGAGTAATATTGAAACTAAAGGAGAAACATGGAACGGATGCGTCTGAACCACTATCCTAAACCCAAATATCCCCCAGACGTGGGAAAGTTTGGATGCAGATTTGAAGCCCAACCTAAATTTCATAGCTGGCCATGTACTGTAAATAAACGACTGAACTAAACCTCCAATTCAGACTAACCTTAACTTTATGACTCAAGCCCATGCTTCCTAATAGACTACATGAAGCTGAGAGTGATGAGGAACACTGTACAAAAGTACTGAGGGATGCGATAAAGGTTGCCTTTGCTTATCAAACTAAAATATTGCAAGAGCAATACTGTACTTTAATTTGAGAGCACTTGGATTGCAAAACATAAAAAGCAGCCTCAATTTTGCATTTCTAAAAACATGGATTTATCACATACTCAGACTTGACTCCAAAAGACCACCCTATTAGTGGAAAGTGAGCACAGTGTATCCCACTATGAACTCTGACAAGAACATGGATGGCAGGGAGACTATGATCTTAGTGGATTTAAGGAGCATAGCTCATGTCTTAAATCATAGTGTGGCAAAAACAAATCTGTTATTCAGTGCTTACAGATCTATGTGAAATCTAGGTATTAGAGTGCCTCTATACTATGTTGATTGGAACCATATAACTACTTAAATCAGAAAGTGTGTTAATACCCCAAACAAGCAAACAAAGACCAATGATTCTCTGTCCATGATATGTGTATTTCCTGATATATGTCCTATAATAAAGGCAAAAAGGGATACACATTTTATTTGTTTCAGAGTAACAGCCATGTTAGTCTGCATTCGCAAAAAGAAAAGGAGTACTTGTGGCACCTTAGAGACTAACCAATGTATTTGAGCATAAGCTTGTAAGGAGAGTGATTACTTTAGATAAGCTATTGCCAGCAGGAGAGTGGAGTGGGGGAAGGTATTTTTTCATGCTTTGTGTGTATAAAAGATCTTCTACACTTTCCACAGTATGCATCCGATGAAGTGAGCTGTAGCTCACGAAAGCTCATGCTCAAATAAATTGGTTAGTCTCTAAGGTGCCACAAGTACTCCTTTTCTTTTTGCGAATACAGACTAACATGGCTGTTACTCTGAAACCTATGATTTCACTATGATACAAATATATAAATACATCCTCTTTAACTGCATTAGGCATTTGGTAAAGATGTAAATGATACAATCAATTTCTGAAATATAAAGAGAAAAATATTTTTAGTATTCTTCTGAAATTATGATATATATGAGGAAACCTGATGATCCTATTAGACTATTATTTAGACACTGAAGATGGTCTAAGAGAAATAAATTGCACCGCATCCCTTCACTGCTATACATACTCAAAAAGAAGTTATCCAGTCTGTGAACTTTTTAAACTTACGTTTACTAAGGCATATACTTTGTTGTAATGTAAATGGATTTTTACACACTGCAGTACTGATGGCAAATTTCCAATGTGTGTTTCTGTAATTTTAATCCTTAAAATATTTTTTAAATTACAGAAATTTGAACTTCTAATTATGAAGACCAAGAAAGAACTGTGATGTATGGAAATACAATAATGACAATTTTAACAGTTGCCCAAATTCCTCCTCAGTTATAGGTGTGCAATCCAGTTAGCTTCAATAGGCTAAATTCATCCATGATATACCACCACTCAAATCCTACTGAGAAAGGAGGTGCCATTTGTACATAGTCATATATCAGAGCACAAATTTGTACAAGTGACATCTCTATCCTCAACTGATCTTTTCCTCGCAGATATTTAGTCCTGTCTGTTTACTTTAGTAAGAAATACAAGTTTTTTACTTACTTACAAGTGTTTTACTTCTCTTAGCATGGCAGATTCAACAAAGCTAAGAGAAAGAGTTGAATTCTTTTCAATTAACACAGCTGTTTACTGAGTCCCCATTAATTACACCAGTGCAAGCCTACTGACAATAATAGGGTTGCACAGGCATCACTGATAGCATGAAATGGCTTTATTAATCAGTTAACTACACAATAATAGGCAGGATCATAGAATAAATCCTCCTTTTACAACATACCTGCAACTACTATCAGTGTTAATTGAAAATACAAGGGAAGAAAGAAAATACATGTCATGTTAATTTTTAATCAGTAAACTAAAATGATAAATATTTCTAAGAGAATTTTTACTATTATTTCAAATGGGTTATTCAGTAAGAACCAATAATTGTTAAAACTGCTTTCTATTCCCTAAAGTTAACCAGCTGTGTTTGAATGAAATCTTTGAGATCTTTTTTCCTATCATAGGTAGCCTCAGAAGATGATTGGGGGCTTTAATCACACCAATGCTTTATTTACACCCTTATAAAAAGACACAAGGCAAGAAATTAACATTTTAGTAATCTGAAACTAAGTTTGAGGAACTGTATTTTCAATTTGTTAGACTGTGAAAGTGGGAAAATCCAAATAGATCTCCCCTGGGCACCTTCTTTAAGGAATGCCTGGGGTCGGTTCAGAAGATTCTTCTGAAAAAGTAGACATAGGAAGAGGGATTATGTCTTCAGAGAAGCACTGTGATATTTTAAAGGCAAAGGGAAATAACTGTAGGGATTTTTCTTCATTACCACCCACCCCAGAGAAGTGAACATACAATGAGCAAGGTCTAGTGGTTTTAGAACAGAGGAAGTGTGCAGCTAATAGCATTTTAAGTATCTCCATTTTCAGTTACTTCAACAAAATTACCAGCGAACCAGGCAACAAAGTGAAAGTTTGTTGGTGAGAAATTGTAGACTACAAATGATCATTCAGGTTGTGAAATGTTTCTTTTTTCATGGAATGTAAAGGATTTTTAAAAGCAGAAGTAAAGTTACTGGGGCGCTTGGCAGCTTTGTCCTCACTAGATTATTTCACACACTATAATGTCTCTCTCTTTCAGGATGTTAATCTTGTACAATTTTGTTGTTCAAAGACTCTTTTACTACACAAGGGAACTCACTTGAAAGTGTCTGGCATTAAAGATCATAACCAACCCCTGGAAGCATCTAAGAGAGAGTGTGGACCCTCCACCTTGAAAAAGAGGAGTCCTAAACATCTGACTCGCTAACCAAAGCACCGTGGGAGTTCATAGCCAGGGCAATTCCAATCATCTTCATTAAGTCCCAGCTGTTCACACAGCCATGGCACCTGCCATCTCAATGTGCTAGTCACCTGTAGCCCAAAGGCCACTGATAAGGAAGAGCTAGGGTGACCAGATGTCCCCATTTTATAGGGTCAGTCCCGATTTTTAGGTCTTTTTCTTATATAAGCTCCTATTATCCCCCAGCCCCCGTCCCGATCTTTCACACTTGCTCTCTGGTCACCCTCAGAAGAGCAAATACCCTCTTCCCCGTCTGGCTCCTGGGGAAAGCTGAAGGGACGGTTGGCGACTTGCCCAGGGTCACACAGCAGCTCACTGGCGGAGGCGGGGAGAGAACCCAGGAGTCCCGGCTGCCAGGCGGAGGGCGGGGAGAGCGTGGGGGAGGGGTCTGATCCCCGGACTCCTCGCAGAGGGCGCGCGCAAGGCAACCTCCTCCGCGGCAGCCGTCGCGCGAGAAGTCGGCGCTGAGGGAACGGGCTCCGTCTCCTAGCAGCCGCCGCCTTCTCAGCCCCATGGAGCCCGGCGGGGAACGCGAGCTGCGGCGGAACCTCCTCGAACTCAGGCACCAGGCGGCCGAGTATTATCGGAGCAACGAGGTCCCGCAACGGCTGGAGGAGGCGCTCAACGCCACGTTCTACCTGCGTCCCGCCGACCTCTACGGCCACCTGGTACCTACCGGCGGGGGGGCCAGTGTGCAGGCGCCGGACTGGGGGGGTGGCTAATTGCGCAGGCGCTGCACTACCGCTCTCTGCCCCCCTCCCCCCGACAGATCCCATAATCCCCCGCGCAAATGGAAAGTGAGCGGAGTAAGGTTGAGGCTAGGAGCTCTGCTCAGGTGCAGGAGGGAGTGAGAACGAGGCTCGCCCCTCCCCCCCCCCCCCCAGCAGGGGCAGTGGGGTGGGCCTGGGGGTGCCCAGCCTCCTGGCCTGGGCTGCTGTGGCATCACCCAGTGGGCGCTCCACCTGACTGACCTTCCCCTGAGATGCTGCTCGAGCCTAAGGGTACCAGCTTGCATGACGTTATCGCCAGGCTCAGCTCTTTGCTATTTTTCATAAAGCCCCAGCTCCTGGATTCTCGGGATTAGGTGACAATTTCAGATTCCACCAAAAGAGTTATTAGCTCTTCTGGTTGTGGAGCAAAGCTTAATAATGAGACCTAACCTGCACCCTCGCAGCCCAGAAATCAGAGGACAAAATGGCCCTTCCTTTTATTTAACTTAAAACAGATTTGAAAACAATGTCACAGTGTGAGGCCTGGGCCATGATTTGTGAATGCTTGGGTTTGTCACTGCTGGAACGACAGTATTAGATGGCCCCTTAACAAAGCTATTCAATCATTTTAAGCTAGCTCGATTGAACTAACAAGAGATTGCAAAGTATTTTCTTCTGAGACTGTAGGCTGATGCTCCTACAGCCACAACTATTGTGCAGACCTCTGCCAAGCGTCAGAAGAATGAAGATAAAGGGAGTCTGGTTAGTTTTCACGCTGCTATTGGTATTCAGATCCCTGTGGGCTTAGGTGAAATGGACAAGAATAAGGCGAGCTTTCCCCTTTGCTGTTCAGCCAGCAGCAGAGTCAGACACTGGAACTAGTGTGGCCAATAAAATATCCACTCCTTATAATAGTGGAATGGCCAACACCATACTTTAGAAAGCTGTTTTAAAAAGATTGCCTTCCAATGCTTCCTCCTACACGAATGTCTCTATGATAATGAAGTCTTACATCTCAGGCATTATTCATTGCATTGTTCCATGTTGACCTCAAGTTTCATTACTCTCCATGATAAGGTGTGATCACTAGTTCCAGATTATGTTTTACTGGAAAGAAGGTAAATCAAACAAAATTCTATCATGCTTGTGATAGTTGATTTTTTTTTTAATGATACTTGTTAGTTAGGTATGCCTCTGCCTCCTCACTGCAGCTTTCCATACTATGTACCACTCTATTCACCAGGATTGCATCCACAGTTACACTGGTGTTTCTAGTTTCCACCTGTTATGGTTCACTTCCTACCTCACAAATCACTCTCTGGATTTGGTGATGGTTCCTCTTCTTTGCTAAGACCAGCTATCTTTAGAAACCCACAAGATTTAGGGTGGTAGCCGTGTTAGTCTGTATCAGCAAAAACAACGAGGAGTACCTCCCAAAAGAATAAATGGACACAAATAGGATGTCAAGAATTATAAAATTCAAAAAACAGTCAGAGAACACTTCAATCTCCCTGGACACTCAATAACAGACTTAAAAGTGGCAATTCTTCAACAAAAAAACTTCAAAAACAGACTCCAACGAGAAACTGCAGAACTGGAATTAATTTGTAAACTGGACACCATCAAATTAGGCCTGAATGAAGACTGGGAGTGGATGGGTCACTTCAAAAACTAAAAACTAATTTCCCTATGCTAATTTCCCCCTACTGTTACTCACACCTTCTTGTCAACTGTTTGAAATGAGCCACCCTGATTACCACTACAAATGTGATTTTTTCCTCCTGTTGATAATAGCCCACTTCCACTTTAATTGAATTGTCTCGTTAGAGCTGACTGCCCCACTTGGTAAGGCAACTCCCATCTTTTCATGTATTGTGTAGATATATCTGCCTACTGTATTTTCCACTCCATGCATCTGATGAAGTGTGTTTTAGCCCACAAAAGCTTATGCCCAAATAAATTTGTTAGTCTCTAAGGTGCCACAAGTACTCCTCGTTGTTTCCACAAGGTTTAGTTCTTCATCTTTTCTTTTCCCTCTTGGGCATTTACCACATTAACACAGATGAAACTCAACTGTAAATAACTAATGATTCCTCTGTGGCATCTTGACCAAGTCAGCTTTTGACATCATGCCAAGAGAAGCATTCAGAAACAATCCTTTTTTCTCTATCCTCTTTCTTGAAGTCAGATCTCTCATTTGCTTTCTCTGTAAACTTAGAAATATTATTTCTCTAATTATATTATGGAGGCAAAAGTGATAAGGTGGGTGAGGTAATATTGGACCAACTTCTGTTGGTGAGAGAGACAAGAGTTAAGTATCACAGGATATTTAATGCTCCTTTAAGACCAGATCCTGTGAGTCATCCTCCAAATGGCTTTAGCAGTTGTTCCTGATTAGGCTCTCTCCTCTGCCTTCTAGAGACAGACAGGTACAGTCTTTTTTAGATGGCTTATTCAAGGACAGAGTGCCCTACACCTGCAACATCAGCAACTGCCATGAGGCAGTGAGGGGCTTATTTTGTGTGTCAGTTTTAAGAGTAACTGCACCTGTATTCCTCCTCAATGGTCCACTCTAGGAATGCCCAGTCTTACATCCATCACCTGTCTCTGGGCAGGGACCCATGTTCCACACCCTTCTGACCAGGAGCTTTAAGGATGCACGCCCCCTGCCAAACATTGTGATATCCTCAGCAAGCCATTGGGTCTAACAGCCAGCACCTGTTCATTGTTCTTTCTTTCTTTCTGAGGGCTATGAACAGTGGATTGCCAGCAGTTACAAGTAGGCTTTGCAGAATTAAATGTTTATTTTTTTCTAATTGTGGATTATCGTTTTTTATTTATGATTTTTTGATGATCAGTTTGCATTTTTAGGAATTTTTTTTATTTAACTTTTTATTTTTTACAGCTGTGCGGGGTAGTGTTCAGATTAGGGCAATGCTGACAGTGGGGATGTAGGAGGTCCTTGTGAAGCTGAGGGGCCAAAGACCCCAGGGTGGAACATTCGGGGTAAGCTTCAGTTGTTCTGGCCCCCTGCATTTGGAGCAGAGACTCCCAGCCAGGACTGGTGAGGAGGAGCATGAGCCCTAGTCCCGGGGAGGCTACCCTGCTGCTGAACAGTTCCTGCTTGGGAATGGCTCCCACCCTCTTGGTTAGTGTGTGAGTGAATGGAGCCATGAGAGCAGAGCTGCAGCGGGTTCCCTGCATAGTTGAGGGGCCAGTGGCACTGGATCCCTGCAGGCACAAGGTGGAGGGAAGGTTGGGGTCCTGGTGAAGGGAAGCAGAGCTCAGGCCAGACTAGGGCCATGAGGCGGAGTTGTCACCCGGGGACAGAGCCACCACCATGTCCGGGGACAACAACTCCATGCCAGGACCATATCCTTCTCTGTACCTTGTGTCTGCAGGTATTGGATGTCACCAACCCCACTCACCCACCCACCAGCCAGAAGTGTGGGAGCTGTTCCTGAGCAGGAACTGTTTGGCAGCAGAATGGCCTCCCCTATAGCTGGGGGCTCATCCTCATCTTTGCAGTTCTGGCTGGTGGTCTCTGCTTCTCTAGACCAGGATAACCACAGCCTCCCCTGCACAGCCTGCAGGGATCAGGTGTCACCAGTCATGCAGCCATTCAGGAAGCCATCTGCAGCTCTGTTGTCATGGCCCTGCTCCCTCACTACAGTGACAACAGAGCTGCAGGGCTGGTGACACCCAATCCCTGCAGGCACAAAGTGTCGGGGAGGCTGCGTTCCTGGCAGGGCAGAACAGAGTCTCTTAACACTCCGGTGCCACAAGCGCTACTGAGGGCTCCCTGTACTGCCACGGGTGGCATTCAGCAGTGGAGTGGCCTCCCCGCTGGCTAGCACCAGCTTACTCACTCCCATGACAGCAGAGTTGCAGAGGGCTCCCTGCACTGCTGCAGGGCCAGTGACACCAAATCCCTACAGATACTCTGTCTGGTACCAATTGATATTTTTTCAGTCGATTGCAGTGTGTCAGCTGAAATGGATGTTTACTGACCGTTACTGATTGAAATTGAATCCTGCCAAGCCTAATTACAAGTTATCATGCAGCTTTTTCTCAGAGCACATTTATTCTTAGGGTAAAAGCATCACAGAGAAAACATAAAAAAACAATGAAAGTTCTGACATGCTTATTAATAAACATACCAGAAATCATCTGTCAGTCTTAGGAGGTCCAGATAGGTCAACATTCTTCCAACTCCTCCCTTAAGGGTTGGTCCCCCCCTAGGATCTATGGTCCTGTCCATTTGTTGAATCAAAAGAGAGGTCACAGGTGAATTCAAGCTCATTCTTTTCTACCAAAAACCCTTTCTTTGTTTCCTAGTCTCTAGAAAACCAAGCCTAAAGCAGTATATGCAAACTATCCTAGGGGGCAGTATGTCTTGGAGTTGCATATAATCCTAGGAGTAGTCAGCTCCTACTGTTTTTAAATTCCTGGAGAAGCTGTGGTATCCCTCCCCCTTGGAGTAGGACACAATCATACATAAACTATTCATAAATGTAATACAGTAGTCCTCAGATATATGGCATGGGGCTGTAATATCTGTCACAATATGAACCTGAATAGAAATGAATAGTACTATATAGGTTGTAAGCAGTAAGTATAAACCCAGGTCCTAAAGTGGCTCTTAAGCACACAGCATAGGAATAGGAATACTGAAGTATCCTGATGAATACCAAGGCACAAAAATAGATTTACCCAAGGATGGATTTAATGGTAACATAAAATGAAAGACTTATTTACACAGAAATTGATTTTTTTAATCAAACTCTCTCTCTTCTTCAAGGCTAACTACTTCTCTAAATTTTCAAAACCTCCAGTAATATGCAAATTAATTGGAAGGAAGGTCCTTGATGGAATTGGTCGACCAACATTAGAAGTGGAAATATTTTGCACAGTTAAAAACCATGAGAAGGTATGAGCTATATCTTATTTTGTTATATATCCTAACAGGACATTACAGAGATGCTCATCTCCACCATTGTTAATGATGGGTTATTTTAATTAATGAGACAAAATGGAGGAGTTAAATGTGGATCAAGTTCCTGAATGAATTACTTTTGTAAGTCAGAAGTAGCAAAACTCTGGTGAAAATTGACTACATTGCCCTACCCCTGACTATTATACAGTATTAGCTGTTTTTAGAATAATAATGCTTTGTTTATATTTTAATTTGTGACCCACATCTGATATTACATTCATGTATGTTGTTGTTTGTCATATAATTGTACCCTGGTCCTTGTCTCACAAAAACTGTCCTCTTATAGTCATAGCAGCCATAAGCAAAAACTCCTCTTGACTCCAATGGTGGCAGGAGATAGCTTTTAGCATTTGTCAGACTTGGACCCTAATTTAACTCATTCTCCCTACATAACATGAGTTTTGTGTCTTGCTTTTCTTTCTTTAAAATGTCTCAATAGCACCTTTCTCAGTCTTCTTACACTGGTAATTTGCTAGATGAGGCTCCAGTCCTGCAAACACACGCTTATGTGCTCAGTAGTCCTACTGAAGTCAACAGAATTACTCGTGCTTAAACATATACATATATGTGTTTGCAGGTTCAGGGCTTTAGAACTATCCCTGTTCTTGGAGATAGCTCTGCTTGTATAAGCATTTTTTTTTTACTATACATTTATTTTCATTTGTATGTTCTGAGCTACATATCTTTTTATTCCTATTACACTACTATATTTCAGAAAAAAAGCATGCAGTCTAGTCTTAACACAGTTCATGTCAATAAACAGGTTTTCATGCTGCGAGTTTAGGGCAGTGTACGTTTCAGTTCATTCAAAAATATTGTTGTGTGTTCCAGAAATTCAAGACTAGTTCTGTGTTCCCCTCACATTAGCATTATTCCTCATTAGCATCCAAGGTTGTTCCCTAGATGGCTGAATAGAGACACTGGATTTATGGCTTATTATAACAATCTATAACCCATTAACAACCCCCTAACCCCAAGCTACTTTTTCTTCTCCCTTCCCCCTCCCCCCATGAATGGAGGGATGTTAATAGACCCTTCACCTTGAATAGTCCATTGAAACATGTGTTAACTACTTATGCTAAACAACCGATTCCATCTTATATTTGCTGTGACACTCCCAGAACTGAAGAAAAGCTCTGTGTAAGTTTAAAAGCATCTCTCTTTCACCAAGAGAAGTTGGTCCAATAAAATATATTACCTCACCCACCTTGTCTCTCTGCTTCACTGCAGATGGTAGCTATTTACACTCTCCTTGAAGTAGAACTATGATTTACTTCATTGAAAATGCTCAGAAAAGTAGACAATTTATGTATTTTTTTTTTTTAAATCCAGTATGAAAAGTATTTAAGGTTCATTTTGTCTAACATCCTTAATGCAATCATCCTTAGGAAATCTGTAAAGGATGCACAGTAGTTAGTGACTGATCAAAATAGAGTTCATTTGAAAGGTCACATTGTCATTACATGACACTTTTCACTGCAACAGTAGACAGCTTTTGTACCATGAATAAGGTTAAGATTCTGTCACTGGTATTTTTAGAAAAAGTCAGGGACAGGTTGGCGGCAATAAACAAAAATTCATGGAAGCCCACGACCTGTCCCAGACTTTTACTAAAGTACCTGGGTGGATAAAGGGGGACAAACAGTGCTGCTGGGGCTTTCCGCTGCTCCAACCCTGCTGCTGCTCCTGCAGCTGGGGCTGACCACTGCTGATCCAGCCCCACAGGGGCTGACCCAGTCCCAGCTGCTGCTCCAGTGGCCCGGGGACTGCTAATCCAGCATGCCTGGGGCTGGCCGACCGCCAGCTATTCTGGGGGCTGCTGTTCTGGTGGCTCCGGGGCTGACAGCTGCTCTAGCTCTGCCCCAAAAGGAGTCATGGAGATCCCGGAAAGTCACAGACTCCATTACCTCTGTGACAGAATTATATCCTTAACCATGATTCACCAGCATTTATACTCTTTTGATACTGTCATTCACCCTCAGTTGTTAATGTAATTTATAGGCACATCTTCCTAAAATATTGCCAGGTAAATAACACTTATGAAACTTATTTTGACAGATGCTTATTTCAGAAGAGGAAATGGATGCAGAGTTTTGATTTTTTTTTTAAAGTTACCTATGGTCATCTTTTTTTAATTTTGTTTTGTACATTTGGCAATCTATTGTCAGTAATATTTGTAAAGAATTTCTATTGCCGAAAGATCTGGAAAAACACTAACTTACACAGAGATGTTCACACTTCAGCAGACCTGAAGAAGAGCTCTGAGTAAGCTTGAATTCTAGTGGTTAAAACACAAATTAGGACTCCTGGGTTCTATTCCTGGTGCTGTCACTGTTTTAGGTCCAGATTCTGCAATCTGATCCCTATCTCCATGCAGAGCCTCACTGAATTGGGATTGGATTGAGACACCATGTAGGTGTAAATTCTGTTGCCATTGATCAGAACTGCAGGCTCAGAGCCTTATTTTGGGCCAGTCACTAAATCACTCTGAACCTTACTTTACCATCCTTTAAAATGAGTATAAAAATTATGTGACAGGAGAATTAACACATAAGTAATATTCATAAATGGTTTGAGAATCTTAGCTGGAAAGCTGTAAGTGCAGAAGTACGAGAAACCAAGAAAAAGCTTCAATTATGGGATCAATTAAGTTCCTTGGGAGGGGTGCTATGTTTAAGCCTATATCTTTTTAATCTTTTAAAGTGACGTTTCAAAGTTAGAAATTGAACAGTTTGTAAGCTTTTCACATTAATTTTGCAGAGCATTTGTTCCATTGTGGTCTCTTCTCATTCTGAAATCCTTGAAAATGCTTCACCTGAAGCAATTGATGCTGATGAGAAAGAAAGAAATGACTCTATTAATAGAGCCCTGGAATGGGTAAATGGATCACTGAATGAAATGCTCAGAGACCTGCAACCTGCTGACCAGTGTAAAGTTGATGAGCTGCTTGGGTAGGTCTTGCATATTTTTTTCACTGATTTTTACTGTAGTAAAACAAATTCTTGCAAATAATTGTGTTGTAAATAAAATAATTTGTGCAAAATCTCAATATTTTTTCTAATGTTGTTCCTAATTCTTTCGACACAATATTTCTGGGATATTATTGCCACTAGAAGCCTTGCACTATATTATTTCCATTGCTGTATATTTTTATATAATATGAAGTTCATCCCAGCCTGTACAAAATCCAAATAAACCAGCATTGTGCAGAAATACAAAGATGGGAGTTAGGAATACACCTCTAACACACACCACACACACCCTACTTTTGGACTTATGACCTAGAATATCAGCCACAGTCCCCACATTTGATCTATGTAAGGAGCTGATCCAATGCCCATTGAAGTCAATGGGAGTGTTTCCATTGATTTCAGTATGAGTTAGTACTGATCCAATGGTCTTTCCCTCAGCAGCTCATGGAGCTTGGGTTGGAATCTTCCTCAGCCAGCAGCTCAGCCACTGCCTCTAGTGGTCTGCAGGACATAAGTGATGTGAAAGGCCTTCCATGGGACCTCAGCACTGAGATTAATTTCCCACGTAGTGTATTTACAAATCTCTGGTTTTGATGGAGTACTCTTTCAAAATAGGCCACTCTGAGAGGATACCTAAGGCTCTTACCTTGGGATCATTATCAACCTCCTTTTGTTTCTGTTTTAAGTTTCTGATTTCTGTTTTAAGCTTCCTTGAAAAATACCTATTCTGTAATCAAGTTCATTTGCATTTTTCCATACAAACTTCTTCAGATCTTAGAGAAATTATGAAGCCGTGGAGAATGGTAATACTTTTCCATTTATAATACATTTATCTGGTCTTTGGTAAGAAAAATTATAGGCTAACATATTTGAAAAAGCACCTGAAGTGCCCCAAAAGGTGTTTTGATTTTCCTAGTATCAAAAACCCCACAGATTTAGTTGAACAGTTTTAAAAAAAATAAAATTGATGTTTGCCTTGGGAATTGTCTAATAATATTTTACATGTACAATATATAACATATTTTTCATCCTAGGTCATACTATAAACTGATTTTTTTTCTTTACCAAAACCCTTCTTTATGAATGGAGTCTCACTTTAATAGGAAAGGGCCTAGTTGGTTAAAGATTGACTGCTCTTCACTCTGGGAATGGTGGTATGACCTCTCTTCATCCTCTGCAGTTCCAAGAGTTACTGGCAGCTACCTCTTGGAAGGGATCAGCTTTCTAACAGGAGCAGCTGCAGGAAGACTAGTAGCCAGGACTTCCTTTTTACTTGTTGGAATGGAGTATATCATATGCCTGACCGGTATAAACTGTTGCATTCCAAGAAAATTAGCTCTGTGGTACTTGCTTAGTGGAGTAAAGCTTCACTATGGATGAAATTCATCTAATTGATGGGAGCCTGAACAAAACCATTGATTTACCACTTATATGGCCTTATTCCTACTGCACTGGGGTAATTTTCACTCTATATGTTGCTTCCATTGTATACAAACAACTAAAATACAGCCAATTCTGAAGCAGCAGCCATATAACCAGAGCTCAACTCTAGAGAAAGATGACCTTTTGGATAAGCAAATTAGGCCAAATTCTGACAATTTGGGGAAGTGCCATGGGATTTTTAATATCCGTGCAAAGCAAATAAGTCTTCCTTTTGAGGGTCTTCTCTGTATAGAGCTCACATTATTTACCGTGGAAGGATAAAGAGCTGAGTCAACCTTGCTGAGTTTGAAGGAGTTTTTGCACTTCAAGCTGGTTGTTTAGACCACTAAGCCATCTCCTCTGAGTTTCAATTCAATAGGATTTGAAATAGCTGAAAAATGAGGTTTAATTACTAAACAGCATTGCCGTCCTCATTTGAATATGTATACTTTGCTGTTCTGTTACTTCTGTCCAGAGTTTTCAAAGTACATATCTATTAAGCCTTATAACATCCCTTTGTGACGTGTATTATTAAACCTATTTTAGAGATGGCTAGACCGAGGCACAAAGAAGTTTATTGACTTTCTCAGGTTCACATGAGGCGTCAGCAGCAGAACCATGAATAGATCTTAATTCATTTCCCAGCATGTGCTTTTCCCACTAGTCCATACCTGCTCCTCATCTACCTAATAATATTCTTAAGCAACTAATCATTATGCCTTTTCTTTTCCCATCAGTGAATACTTTGCAAAGAAGGTAGAAGAAGAAAAAGAAAGAAAGGAAATTGAAAGGGAAGAACAAGAAGCAGCAATTTCTGCACCTGCATGCGTTCCAGCTTTATCAGCTGTAACACCATCTGGCAAAAAAAAAGGAGTCAAATTAGGTTTCAGTTGATTTTCTTCTAATATTTCGTGCAAAATAGGTATCAATAAAGATGCTAGCATTCCTTCTGTAGCTCCCCATGGGCACTGAAAGGTAGCAGTGCTTCTCTATCGTGATTTTGTAGCAGGATCCCAGACCTCCTTCCTGGCCACTAGCTGCAGTTCCTCTCTACCAGAGCACCAGTCAGCAATGAGAATAAGTCATCTCCACTGCAAAGCTTGGGGAACGGGGAGAAGAGAACAAAGCATGCTCAGTCAGCCACATGGGATAGTGTAATGGAGCCTCTTTCCAGGTTGTGATTGACCTAGTTGGGGGGAGAGGGGGTCCACTCTTCATCCTGGGAATGAGAATGGAGGAGGATGTGGATGAAAATTATGGGGGAGGAAGTGGGAACCATAGGAATAAGCAGGAAAATGTGAGTGGAATGAAGATGGGGAGAAGAAACAATGGGGGAAGAGAAGAGAAATTGGGGAACACAGAAAGGGGGAAGAATGGAGGTGAGAAGGCAAACAGAATACAGAGGAAAGGGGAGGGATCTGCGAAGAGAGGGAATCAGACAGTGAGGCAGTGTGGAGAGGAGAAGCAGAAAGAATAAAAATGACTAAGGAGGGGGAAGAGAAAGTGGTATGAGCAAAGGAAAATGGGTGGTGGAGACCAAAGGTAATAAATATATGGGCAAAAGTAAGGAGAAAGAGTATGTACATGCTGCCTTCCTCACTTCCTCAGAGAAATAGTCTCCTTTCTATTATCTTCTTTCTGTGGAATTGGAGAGTAAGCCATCACCTCTGCTGATGATGATGCCTCATCATGTTTATCTTGTTATTGACTTCTTTCTTATTTTGTAAAATCAGTATAATTTCTTGAGATTGTTTTATAGATGTGCACGTTAATGCAAATATACATCTATTGTCCAACTTAGATTATTAGTTATGCTATCCACAGTTATCATGTCCATTCTCAGATGTCATCTTTTGCTTCACACAGTAGTTTTAGTGGGTTTTGATACCCAACTGTCATTGACTACTTAGTTTCAGTAGTTATCATTGATTTCTTGCTGAATGTAAAAATCGATAAATACATACTTATTTAAGAAAGTTTTGGCTATTAGAAGTCAATGGGTGTGGCTACTGACTCACAGTGAAGGGGTAGTAGATACTCAACTGCTGTTAGCTGGTTTTAGAATGTACTCTGTCTGGTTGCATGTGGCACAAAAGACCATTTCCTACAAAGAATCTTTGGAGAACAAAACAACTGTTTGCTTTAGCTTTTGATCATTCACTTACTTCATCCCTATTGGTGCTGCACTTTACCCTGTGGGTATAAGTGGTGTAGAATCTATCACATGCTGTAAATGTAGTTCAGGTCCTATTTTGGTGAATCTTCACTTACAATACTACAAATGTACTCTGTTGTATTTGTATTTTGTTATTGAAAATTGCTCTGCAATGCTGGTATGAAGGGTCAGATTTTCAAAAGAGCATGTATTTAGGAACCAAAATAAATGATAAGATTTTCAAAGGAGGTACGTTGGATGCTGAGCACTTTTGAAAAATCTAGCCCAAATTGTGGGTGTTGAACACTTGAAAATCTGGTCCCTTCAGTTCATGGCTTAAGGGTGCTATATTCTTCTTAGTGTACATGTTACTTAGCAGAAAACAGAAGGTGCACTTTGTCTCAAAGAGCTTATAATGTAAACTAGATAAATGCAGAAAATGATGAAAACTAGAAAGGAAGGGAGGGGTGAGGTTTACAACAAATAAAGAACATGCAAAACATGCTTTGCGTATGGAGTTTGAAAGATCAGATTATTACATCTAAATACAGAGAAGGGCAAAAGATAAGATCTAGAAATCAGTGGTTAAAAGCTAGCTGAAGGAAGTGAATTTTGAGGGATTTAAAATCAGAAAGGAGGCAGAATGCATTGTGCAGTTGGAGATCAAGATAACCCCAAGTGATGAGAGCTGCAAGATACAACAAAAATGGATTGATTATTTGAAATAAACATCAAATTAATCCTTAAAATAATAGTGCATCAATTAATATGCATAACATTTAATGCAATATTTTACTTATTTGTAGGATGCTGATATTTTAGGTACACAACTGAATTTTAAACTGGTAAAACATTTAGTAAATATTCTTAATCACGTCAGGGAAGAAGTGTTCTGTTGCAGAGAAACCAATCCCACCTGCAGAACCCATTGAACCAGTGCTCTGTGGCAGCATAGCCATTGGAGGATTATCACTTGCTGTTGCTAAAACTGGTGCCACCATTAACAACACACCTTTGTATTTACATCTTGCACTGATGAAACGTGATCAGGTAATTGACAATATATATTTTTTTCATTTTGTCTCAGCTGTAGTCACTGTTCCAGAGTTGTGTACTTCAGGAATGTTCAGTGAAAAGCTGTATAGTTTGATACCCATTGTCAGATGACTCCTTATATGACATAATCCAAAACTCATTGAGGTCAATGGAGGGAATCTTTCCACTCACTTCATTGGGCTTTGGATCAGGTCTGTAACGAAAATAAACAAGAAAACACTTGGTTAAACAATAAGAGTTAAACAGTCTTATTTTCACATGGCTTTCTCAATTTCAGGATTTGCCTAAGGAATTGACTGTGCCACTACCAATGGTCACTCTGTTGAGCTGTGGAAAATCGTCATCTGGAAAACTGAAGTTAATGAAAGAAGTGATGCTTATACCACCCACAGAGTTAACAGTTAAACAAGTACTGTATGCTACTATTTTCACTTTAATTTTATGACATCATAATTTATTGAACTCATAACTTTTAGATACAGTCCTGAGAAAGTGGTTTTTTTATTTCTGTTTATGGGTGAGGTCAGAGTTTCCTTAACAAAATGTTATTGCAGAACTGAATAGTTAGGATATGGAATCTTTTGTATTGCAGATCTCCAAATATAAAGTATGTGTGTCTAGTGGATCACAGGAATCAATTCAATTAAAAGCAGCAGCAGAGTTTTGTAATACGGTGGAAGCATATAATAGGCTTGTATAAAATGCATAATATAATTGGTATAATAGGCTTGCCATTCATAGATAATAAATCATATCATTCAGTGTATAGCACACAGTGAAAGGATGACCACAAGAAAAGTACACAATAAGATGTAAAAATCTTTGTGAACAAATCATTTTTAAAATGAAACGATGTAGAAGGGAAAGCAAAGAGGAACAAAAACCCATTAAAGTGGCAGGAAGGGTGGATAAGGGCAGGCTGGGTCAACACCTTATTTGCTTAACTGTATGTGGCATTAAAGAATGTATCTGCACAAGATGCCTACATTAAAGCTGTACTCTGTTTTGTATGCCAGTGACCTGAACAAAGTAGCTGAGCTTTACTCTTGTTGTTTATAATTGTCACCAAAACCTATTGTGCCTTTCAAAGGCATAATGCCTCCTGGGTGCTTGAGTGGGGAGCAACGAGAGATTCTTTGCTACAACATGCAGTAGCAAGAATAGCATGCCCCCTGTGTGGTTATGTTATTTGACTGTGACCTCTGCCTCCACTAGTGCACCTATGTAGGCATGATTAACATAATATGAAGGCATATGATTTATGAAGGGAGGGTTAATCTTTTCCTTATTCAGTTGAAGAGGAAAGATAGTCTTGTGGTTAAGCAGTAGACTATGACTGAAGATTGGAGTTCATTTTCTGACTGCCACAGCCTTCCTGTGTGAGCTTAACCTCTTTGTTCCTCCATTCCTTGCTTGTAAAATGGAGATCGCAATACTTTCCTACTTCACGGAGTTGGGAAAGATAAATACATAAGTGTTTCTGAGGTGCTTAGATGCTAGTCTCCTAGGGCTTGTCTGCAAAAAGACACTCAGAAAAATTAATTCAAATTAACTAAAAGTGTGAATTTAAAGTAGAAAGAAAAGGAGTACTTGTGGCACCTTAGAGACTAACCAATTTATTTGAGCATAAGCTTTCGTGAGCTACAGCTCACTTCATCGGATGCATACTGTGGAAAGTGTAGAAGATCTTTTTATACACACAAAGCATGAAAAAATACTTCCCCCTACCCCACTCTCCTGCTGGTAATAGCTTATCTAAAGTGACCACTCTCCTTAGAATGTGTATGATAATCAAGGTGGGCCATTTCCAGCACAAATCCAGGGTTTAACAAGAACGTCTGGGGTGGGGGGGGGAGGAAAAAACAAGGGGAAATAGGTTACCTTGCATAATGACTTAGCCACTCCCAGTCTCTATTCAAGCCTAAGTTAATTGTATCCAATTTGCAAATGAATTCCAATTCAGCAGTCTCTCGCTGGAGTCTGGATTTGAAGTTTTTTTTTTGTAATATCGCAACTTTCATGTCTGTAATCGCGTGACTAGAGAGATTGAAGTGTTCTCCAACTGGTTTATGAATGTTATAATTCTTGACATCTGATTTGTGTCCATTTATTCTTTTACGTAGAGATTGTCCAGTTTGACCAATGTACATGGCAGAGGGGCATTGCTGGCACATGATGGCATATATCACATTGGTGGATGTGCAGGTGAACGAGCCCCTGATAGTGTGGCTGATGTTATTAGGCCCTGTGATGGTGTCCCCTGAATAGATATGTGGGCACAGTTGGCAACGGGCTTTGTTGCAAGGATAGGTTCCTGGGTTAGTGGTTCTGTTGTGTGGTATGTGTTTGCCGGTGAGTATTTGCTTCAGGTTGGGGGGCTGTCTCCGAAGATTTGTGAGAGTGTTGGGTCATCCTTCAGGATAGGTTGTAGATCCTTAATAATGTGTTGGAGGGGTTTTAGTTGGGGGCTGAAGGTGACGGCTAGTGGCGTTCTGTTATTTTCTTTGTTAGGCCTGTCCTGTAGTAGGTGACTTCTGGGAACTCTTCTGCCTCTATCAGTCTGTTTCTTCACTTCTGCAGGTGGGTATTGTAGTTGTAAGAATGCTTGATAGAGATCTTGTAGGTGTTTGTCTCTGTCTGAGGGGTTGGAGCAAATGCGGTTGTATCACAGAGCTTGGCTGTAGACAATGGATTGCGTGGTGTGGTCAGGGTGAAAGCTGGAGGCATGTAGGTAGGAATAGCAGTCAGTAGGTTTCCGGGATAGGGTGGTCTTTATGTGACCATCGTTTAGGTTATTTAAACTGCATTAAAACCCTGGGTGGACACTTTGATTCAGAAAGAAAGTGGCCTTAATTCACTTTAGCACAATTGGAAGTGAATTACTCTAAAACAAATTAAGACCATTTTAATTCTGAATAAGAGTGTCCACCCAGGGGTTCCACGTAGTTTAACTAATCCACTTTAAGAATTAATTCAGATTAATTTACCAGAGTATCCTTGTATAGACAAGCCCTTACATAGATAGATCTAGGGAGGTGCTGATTAGTAGGCATGGGCAGTTATACAGATGATATTTGGTCCCTGAATATCATCTTCCCAACAGGCTTGTGATCCTATCCACTGGGGACTCCTTCTCCCAGCACATCCCCTTAGTTGAAGTTATATATTATGAGGTGGAGCATAGACAGGTAGCCTCCTTTCCTGGTGCCTACATCACTTTTTGAGTTTTGAGGCAGTCATCTAGCTTTTCCCCTCCTCTTAGATCTTAAGGGGGCAGACCAATGTGTCTGTTGGTTGTTAATTCAGGTAGGGTTCTTCTTAGGGTTCTGCTTACTTCCATTCAGCAAGACAAAGAATCATTGGTCCTAGCTCCACTGCTACTGGCCCTCTAGCACTGGAGAAGCTTGACCATATCAAAAGGCCATGGATAATTTGGGATTTGTGTTTGTGCTAATCAGACCTACAGAATAAAAATGTGCACTGGAATGTGTGCATTAGGAGCTACATTTTTTTTAAATAAAAGAAAATTTTCTCATGTTTTAATTTACATTCTTAATGCAAAATAATAATTCTGTTTTGGATGACTATTGTTATTTAATTTAAAGGGTACTGAAAGGCTTCTGGAGATTCAGAAACAAATGATGAGGTTGCTGGATCCTGTAGTCAAAGGGGTAAGATAAAAACTAATCCTAATTTAATAACTTGTGGAGTTAATACTGTTGATATGCTTCATATGGCCTCTCTAATACTGAACATAAGATTTATTATTTGACATTCATATCTGTCACCTGTGTATATTGAAAAACTGGCCTTGTATCACATTTCTATCAGTTTTGTGGCATTAGGGTAACCAGATTTCCTGATAGTATGAGCCCCGATATTAGGGGCTTTGTCTTATATACCCAACTATCCCTTCCCCGCCTCCCCCTGAAAAAAAAGTGTCCTGATTTTTCACACTTGCTGTCTGGTCACCCTAGGCACAATATAGTAAATGCATTTATTTCACACACCCACATATTATACACACATTATAGCAGAGCAATAGCTCTACTACAGTTAAGATTAAGGCCAGCTTTCCGTTTAAAGCTTGATTGTTCTAAGTGCCCTAAAATCTGTAGGGTAATTAGATCGCCTTGAAATTTGGTTTTTTGAATGGGGCGGTGAGGTAAGGTCAGTGACCCAAATTTGGAACCATTTAACAAAGGTTTTCTGAGATACAGTTCCAAGAAAAGTACAAACAAAAAATAGTGTTTTATGAAATTCACAGATTCTACCAATTTTGAAGTTTGAAATCCACCCTAGGCAGAAATCTAAGCATGAACTGTAAACAGTTGTGAAAAATCTGCTTCTGTCAAGGGTGTTTTTTGCGATATGTAATCTAAGTGTAGCAAAGTACTCAGAAGGTGCTGTGACTATTTTTGAAAAGAAAATAAATTACACATGTGAGTACTCACTGGGAGGGAAGGGGTGATGGGTGCAAGAGTAAGTGGTAACAAGGGAAGAGAGGGTTGGGTCTTCAGTGAGGGATGGGAGTATTATGGGAAGGGGAGATAAATGGAAATGGGTGGAGGGAAGGGAAGAGGGCTTGGGGACTCAGCTAAAGAGGAGAGGGCCGGAACGGGAGGGTGGGAAAGGAAAAGACAGGAGGGGTTGGAGAATATGAGGGGTAGCAGAGGAAGTTGGGCTTTTAGGGAACTGTGGACTTGTCAGCCCTTCTGTGTACATGCTGGACTGTGATGGAGCTCTACACCATTGCTGGCTGTGTATTCTGGGATCTAGAGGACCCTGCTCGTCTTTAGGTGTCTGAGCCCCTCTCCCTGAAATCCAGAAAATGAGTAGTTAACATACACCTCCCCTGTGTGTGGAGTGGGTGTGAATGGGCAGGGCTAGCCAGACCGTGTGGTGGAGGGAGCCCGGTTTGGAGGAGGGTTGGATTGGGTGGAGTTAAGGCATGGCTTGTGAAGCCTGACTGAAGCAGGGGCAGCGTCCCAGCTTGGGATGGGTAGTGGGAGTGAGGAGCCAGCTCAGTGCAGCTTGGGCTATATAACTAAGGTGGTGTGCCACTTTCCGGTAAGCTGCTGCCTGTGATATATGCATGCAGCCGCACAGGGCAGGAGATAGGAAGGAGCAACTTCTGGCTTCTGAAGTGCTAACTAATGGCTTAATGGGATGGGGAAGGTTGGGGAGGGGGAGCTGGAAATGTTGGTGGAAGGGCTATATGTTGTGAGGAATGGTGGGATAGAGGGTGGAGAAGGAGTGAAACACACCAGTCTCTCACACTCAAAGTTATTGTAACCACCATGCGTTAAAACTGTCAAGGTTTGGGGACGTAGACCATGGATAAGTTTTCTATGACCGGCCTTGGTAGCAACTACACATTGCAAACATTTCAAAGCACAACATTATCCCTATTCCACAACAATAAAATGTACAGAATGGGGGAGGAGCTATGAAGAATCACATTGCAACTATGTGATCTAGTGGAAGACTACTGAACTGGGACTGTTCCTAGCTCTTCCATTGGCCTGCTGGGAGACTGTGGGCAAGTCACTTCACCTCTCAGTGTCCCATCTATAAAATGGGGATAATGACGTAAAGTTCTTTGAAGTCTAGTGATGAAAAGCACTATGTAAAACTAGGGGTTTTTAATTATTACCTAGCCCCAGAAGCATATCCGGTACAAACCTAGGTGAAAACTACAACTGTCTGAATGAACACAAACATCTACCAACAAACCCCTTTCTCCAGATCATTTACCAATCCTATTCAACTTATTCACAAATGATCTGGAGAAAGGGGTAAACAGTGAGGTGGCAAAGTTTGCAGATGATACTAGACGGCTCAAGATAGTTAAGACCAAAGCAGACTGTGAAGTACTTCAAAAAGATCGCACAAAACCAAGTGATTGGGCAACAAAATTGCAAATGAAATTTCATGTGGATAAATGTAAAGTAATGCACATTGGAAAAAATAACCCCAACTATTCATACAATATGATGGGGGCTAATTTATCTACAACTAATCAGGAGAAAGATCTTGGAGTCATCATGGATAGTTCTCTGAAGTCGTCCACGCAGTGTGCAGCGGCAGTCAAAAAAGCAAACGGGATGTTAGGAATCATTAAAAAAGGGATAGAGAATAAGACGGAGAATATCTTTTTGCCCTTATATAAATCCATGATATGCCCACATCTTGAATACTGCGTACAGATGTGGCATTAGAAAAGGTTCAGAAAAGGGCAACTAAAATGATTAGGGGTTTGGAACGGGTCCCATATGAGGAGAGATTAAAGAGGCTAAGACTTTTCAGCTTGAAAAAGAGGAGACTAAGGGGGATATGATAGAGGTATATAAAATCGTGAGTGGTGTGGAGAAAGTGAATAAGTAAAAGTTATTTACTTGTTCCCATAATATAAGAACTGGGGGCCACCAAGTGAAATTAATGGGTAGCAGGTTTAAAACAAATAAAAGGAAGTTCTTCTTCACTCAGCGCACAGTCAATCTGTGGAACTCCCTTGCCTGAGGAGATTGTGAAGGCTAGGACTATAACAGGGTTTAAAAGAGATCTGGATCAATTCATGGAAGTTAAGTCCATTAATGGCCAGGATGAGTAAGGAATGGTTTCCCTAGCCTCTGTTTGTCAGAGGGAAGAGATGGATGGCAGGAGAGAGATCACTAGATCATTACCTGTTAGGTTAGGTACCTCTGGGGCACCTGGCATTGGCCACCGTCAGTAGACAGGATACTGGGCTGGATGGACCTTTGGTCTGACCCAGTATGGCCGTTCTTATGTTCTTAAACATTTCTCTTTGTTTAAAAAAATTAGAAAATGGCAATAAACTTTGTTAACACAGAGGTAAGGTTGCCTGATGATATCTTGTGCACTTCCAGAACATCGAGTTCATCAAAACTCAAACATCTGAAAGCCAGGAAATAAGAGTTCAGGTAAATGCTCATACAGCCTTAATTGTACTCTCTGAGTGGTGCCCATAATACACACACTCCCAAGTGCTACCTGGACTTGCCCTACGCCCAAACACACAGCCTACTCCCCTGACAGAGTATCACAGTTGTCAAATTTTACAACTCCTTCACACTTGCACATAAGATACCACCTAAACCTATATTTTCCCCTACCCAACATTAAACCCACAGAGTTCTTTCATATCCCACCTTTCTACTGTCAATACCCATGGCAAGAAGACCCCAGTGCCCTACTACTGACACAACCTACACAATTCTGTATTGAAATGATGCAGATTGGAACCTCAAGGTACCCATAAATCTCTCTCCTTTGACAACATACATGAGAGGACTCAGACCCAGATCTCTTCATATCAGAATCACAGCTCTTCCAAGCTACTGCATTTTATTCTTCCAGCATTTAGTACAGCTACACTACACAGTGAACCCAGATAATTTCCAGCGGTTATTGCCAGCTGTAGGGGGCATTTACCTTAATTCTGTATTTCCTGGTTTTCAGAAGTTTTAGTTTCACTGCACTTGACATTCTGGAAGGGCATGAACCAGGCAACCTTAAGTGCGTTAACAATGTCTTTTGCCATTTGTCTCTCTCTCTCTCTCACACACACACACAAACAAACCCCTGTTTGGTGACATTGAACTTTAATCAGAAATGTAGAATAGAACATTTTCACAAATGCGAGACAACCCTCTATTCCATTATCCTTACAAGAAAAACTGCAATAAGAAGAAAACACATTCCAGCATAAGTACAATGTAAAAGAAATGACCCTGCTCCTGCAAAGGCACTTTTAACTTTACGCACAAAATAGTTCTACTAAAGTCAGTAGGATTATTGACAAAGTATGTAAAGTTAAGTGTGCATACATTTTTTGCGGGATTGGGGCCCTAGTTATTCTTCAGGTGCATAGTCAGTCCAGATCCACACTTTTGGGAGAACATATGCAGTTGGCACAGAAAGTGAAAATTTTCTGGAAAAAGCAGCAATGCACATTCTTCATTGAAATGAACATTTGGAGAGGAGTTATTGTGTGGTATAAAACAATATCATTACTTTGTACTATACACAGAATACTCCTCTTCTATGTTTTCCAAAATAATGTTTTCTAAACCTAAAGGAGTACACTTAATGTTATGAGATCAAAGTTTGATCAACTCTTTTTCTTTTCGTTTCTCTTCCTGAAATAATTATGTAATTCTTGGATTTTCCCAAACGAAACTGCTTCATTGCTTTTTCTTCAGTGCCAACAGTCCAGCCCTCAGCTAACAGATAGTAAAAAAGGCAGTGCACGTAGTGCAGTGAAAAGGGCTCCGGTAAGAAAACAGATTTTAGTTTTAAGCTTCCAGAGGATTATCATGAACAACAGGAAGCCCAAACATTCTACGTTATAAAATGTTCATTTAAAGCAGCCCCTTTAAAAGGTCAAAGTCAAGACTTCTAAATTCCAGATAGGACACATTTTGTATACTCTAATAGGAAGTGTTTTTTTGGATTCTATTAGCTAACACTTCACCCCCCCCTGCAAAAAAAACCATGGGGGGGTACTCCACATAGTTCATCACAGGGAGCCCCGACGCATCATATGCATAGGGGAGGGATTTGGGAGGCCAGTGAGGAGGCAAAGAGCATGACCCTCTCACTACATAGATCCTTGAGACAACTGCATGTAAGGATTGTCCCTCTGTGTTGCTTCCTATCCTTGGCAGCACAACTGCCTGGGAACCCACTCTACCTTTGATTTACCACACCCCTCTGAAACTAGTAGAAAATAGTATTGTCAAGTTTCTATTTAGGTATTATAAACAATTAAAATCAAAGCTATTAAAATAGATTTTGGGGTGAGGATTGTTATACTGAAGTTTTGGGGCTTTTGCTTAATACAGAAGGTGGGTTTTTTGGTTTCATTCATTTTTAGCCTGAAAAGGTTGATAAAACCTCCCCTGTCGACTCTGGCTGCGCCTCTCGCAGTGGCGGAGTACAGGAGTCAACAGGAGAGCACTCGGGGGTCTATTTATCGCATCTAGACTAGATGCGATAAATTGACCCCCGCTGGATTGGTCGCTGCCCGCCAAACTGGCGGGTAGTATAGACATACCCTAAAACTGCAGTGTAGATGTTTGGGCTAGGACTGGAGCTTGAGCTCTGGGGCCCTCCTCTCTTGAAGTGTCTGAGAACTCGGGCTCCAGCCCAAGCCTGAACATCTACACCACAATTACACAGCCCTGCAAGCCCAATCCCTGCGAGCTCAAGTCAGATGACACAGACCAGCCATGGGTGTCTAATTGCAACGTAGATGTAACCTTAGCGGTATCTGTACTGGGGCTTAGGTCAGCTTAACTACTTCTCTTAGCGACATAGTTAGGTCAACCTAAGTTTTAGGTGTAGACCAGGCCTCAGGAGGAAACAAAAATAAAGAAATTGAAAAGAAACAATTTAGAGAAATCATATGAAAATACAAACTTAAGCCTTATCCTGGGAATATGATAGCATTCAGGTGGACTCATGCACTATCCGTTGCAGAATCATATTCTTATCTTAATGCTATATCTAGATAACTATGAGTGAAATAAATTGCCTTTCACTTCTTCCATCTGGTACAAGACTCTTTCTCTCTCACACAGTAATCTGAACTGTATTCATCTCTCCAAATTTTATATTTGAGAGAAGGTCCCCAACTCAGTCTCTGTAGCTAGTCTTCTGCTCCTTCTTATGGGTCTTACTCCTTCAAGACCTCTTGAGTTTAGGCAGAGACACTGTGTCACCTTCCCAACTAACTCTCTCCTCAATAGAACCCAGTTCTGCTGAGTTACCTTGGCAACCTCATGATGTCATTCAATCTGTTTAGGTGGTAGCAACAGTTTACCAGTGTATTACATAGACATAGTCCCATGAGGTCCCTGAAGGAGAACTCTATGTAAGCTCGAAAGCTTGTCTGTATTACCAACAGAAGTTGGTCTAATAAAAGTTATTACCTCACCCATCTTGTCTCTCTAATATCCTGGGACTAACACAGCTACAACACTCATTTATTACGTAACATTTATAGCAGTAGAGTTTATAAAGCAACACAACTTTTGTAGCTGGTTAAACACCAAAGCAGAGCTGAGATACTTGATTTAGTGCAAATCTGCTTATGGCTAGTATATTCCCACATCAGAAACATTATGCCTGATGTTCAACAAGATAAAGACCATACCATAGCTATATTTCCTGCAACATTTTGTTTCCTCATGAGGGCTTGAAAGAGCTGTACTATGTCTTGAATGTTCCAATAGTGTCACGTTGAGGTACCGGATGAGGATAACTGAGTGGGAAGTGAGTTTGAAATGTAAATGACAGTTGGAAGGAAAAGGCATGATCTATAACAAGGAAAACTTTTTCATAGCATTCACCACTTCTTAATGGAGATTGGGAGGGGAGGGGATCCACAGGGCAATCACAGATGTGCAGACCAACTTCCATTTGTAATTTCATAACAGACTTTTGGCAATTACAAAATTTGCTTATGTGGAAAGGCAGTACTAAGAGGGCCTTTATAGTATTTTGGCTGTCTTTTAATGAACTATAGCAGCTGGAAACAGGTGAGCCAGAACCATGGGACCAGCCTTAGTTTTCAGGCTAGCCTTCCTTCCATGGACCAGCTTTTGGGAACCTCTCATTACATAGTGTATTGTCCATAAGGTTTTCAGTATCATTTGTGAGAGGAGAACATTATATTTTTCTGAGCTGATGTTGACTGAAATCCGACTGTCCTATAGCTACATATATGTTAATACAGATATTGTTTCTATTTTATTTCCAGCCATCAGTTTTAAAGAGAATATCCCATTTGGGGTGCTTAATAACAGGGTGTGATAGTCTAGAACAACCTCTGATCTTAATGCAAACAGCTTGCAGGAATCTCGGTCTGGAACTAGGAATAGATGTACATTTAGCAATAAACTGTGCTGCTCATGAATTGATGGACTATGTAAGTTATTTTTAATATCTCTTCTTTAACTGATTTTAAAGTGATTGCTTATTTGTTCTGTGGTAGCACATAGATGTCACAACCACATTGTGTTGGCAGTGTACAAATATACAACAAACACAAGTCTTCTGCCCTGATACACGAGGCTTTGAACATGTAGCCCCCGGTGGTGTGCACCACCCAAGACAGCAGAAATGTTATGGGTGAGTGGAGGGAAGCAAGCTTCAGGGAGACCACTCAGTTGTCTCAGCCCCTTGTGTACTATGCAGCAGAGCTCTGTAGTGACTCTCTGCATATGAACATGGGGAACAAGGGGCAGCTAGTGTGATGAGATATACCCATACCTACTAACAGAATGGGTCCACAGGAATAAAACCTTGCATGGAGCAAGGCGCAATGGGCCACGGCAGCTATTCCTCCTTATGACCTGGCGTAGCAGCTGTGGCTCGCTTCGGAGACACTTGGGACAGTTGCGACGAAGTCATCCATCCCTTTTCATGTGGGGTGTGGTCCATTATTCAGGATTTGGCCTTGAGAACTTAAACACTGAAAAGCTAATTGTGCCAGCCAGCTCACTCTTATTTTTCTTTGTTTGAGACTTTTCTGATCAATCGTAGCAAACTGCTTTAATGGACAAATATTCATTACTAGTTAAATTGAGCAAGCTAAATTCATTTCACTTATGACCTAAGCTGGATGCGAGTTTCCAAAAGAGCCTTCGCTCATCATACCAATGTGCAGATTAATTATATGCCTAGCTTCCACCCCCTCTTGCCTTTAAATGTTTAAATATCTTCATATTCTGCAAAGTAATGGATTCCTGCTGTAATCCATTCACACTATTCTTCCCCTGCCCCCGTATTTTATTGTATAACACCTGTTATGTTTTAAGGCTATACACACATCAAGGTGTAGGGTACAATCTACTCTGTAAAACAAAAAAATGTGCAGCAGCGAGTCTCAGATGTGGGCCCATGACAGGGCTAAAAATAGCAGTCTAGATGTTCCTGCTGGGGCTGAAGCCTGAGCTCTGAGACCCAGTGAGAGGGGTGAGTCTCAGAACCAGGCTCCAGCCTAGCAGGAATGGCTACACTGCTATTTTTAGTCCTGTAGCACAAGCCCTGTGAACCCAAGTTAGTTGATCCAGTCTCTGAGACTTGTTGCTGCAGGTTTTTTGTTTTCTTGCAGTGTAGATGTACTCAAAGACCTGTTATTGCTTAGTACAACTTCACCTATTGAACAGGACTATGTGGCACTCTTATAATTGGCTGTCAACATTTCTATGACATATTCCTATTTTAGCAGTGTCTATAACTTTGTCAGATTTATTTACCTCAGGCTGAAATTTTGAAAAGTATTTTTTGGGTGTTTTTAAAGTTTAGAAATCAGTCAAGATGCTTTTTATTTAGAAAAGATTATGTACTATTCTGTCTGGCTTAGTATTTAGGTTTTTTATGTTCTGAGTGCTGTCAATGACAGAAACCCTTCATTGTTAATATCAGATATTTTATAAGATGCTTGTGGTGCGTAACAGAAACTGTGCCAATTGATGCCAATTTGGCACACACAGAAATCCTATTTTAAGATGAACAGAACCTTAAATGATGAAACAACGGGAACTGTCATAACATTAATGGTATGTGAAGGTGATGAAAGCTGAAAGTTCTCCTGCAGTTTGACATTCTGCCATTAATTCTACCTCTACCTAAACAGAATTGCCAACCTCAAGTGTGCAAAAATCATGAGTCAGGTCCCACAAATCACAAGAATGGCATAAAAACAATATATATTTTGCTTCTTTTTCTTTGCCCTCTGGTTTCTGAGCCTTTAGAGTGCGCTCATTTCATGTTTTCAAGGTTTTTTCTGCACTCATTAAGGCTAGAAACTTTGTGTGGGGTATGTGTGTGAAAAGCTCACAATAAAATCACGAGAGTTGGCAACACTGCCTTGGACATGCAGAGGTCTAAAAATAGCAGGAGGTAAACTCCATCCACCTCACACAAAGCCTGAGTAAATAGCTAATGGTCTGTGGACTGAAATAAGGGCTGTGTACCCTGCATTCACCTCGGATGGGTTTTGTGGCCACTGGATCTGCATGATTGCATAGAAATTGTTTACCACAAAATTGCTACCGTTTTTATCTTTTACACATTTAACTTATGTTTTTAGACCAAAGGAAAATATGAAATACTGACTGGAACACTCAAGAGTCCTGATGAAATGGTAGATATGTATGTGGACCTAATTAATAAATACCCCTCTATTATTGCATTAGTAGATCCCCTGAGGAAAGAGGTAAGAGATATTTTGAAAGCTTTTAGATTATGCTTTGGGAAATATATTTTCTAAGGGAAATAAGAAGCCATACATAAACACTCGTGGGTGAAATTCACACCTATCCAGAGGGCCAGTACACCATTTATACACCACCTATATCCTACTTAATCCCCATTCTGAGAGCTTAAGTTGTACAAATGTGATGCATAGGCCATATGTTAACTCTCTGCACAGGCCTTGTGTACTCATCAGGAACCGTGGAAGGAATTTCACTGAGCTTGCATGTGTTTACCAAAAATTAAAACCATAAGGAAAAAGTGACATTTTTCACTCTCTTGGAGACACACAGAATGAAAATTTATGTCAGACTTCATTCACATGTCCACAAATTGGTAATATGGCTCTTACTTTATATACATTTGACATGACACTTGATAGAAATTAATCCTGATTAGTGTGAGCATAATGCAGATATACAATATATAATGTGTTTTAAAGAATTAAATGAAAATGAAGTTCTGGCAGATTCTACTTGCTAATAAGCCACTGTCATTTTAATGACACATCCTTTCTTGGGTGCTCATATAGTATTTTAGATACATTGCAAAAGTGAAAAACTACTTGTGAAGCAGGAAAAAAGAATTAGACATAGCTGTACATTCCTAAGAATCATTTAGTAATAAGTTGCTATGATACTGTCACACCAACATTTACACTCCTACTGCAATATAAACCTATATTTGACAGTGCTGCTCAACAGCATTAAAAGGAGTGGTAGAACCACCTAGAATTAACTGGAGTATATTAACATTAGATTTAACTACCAATAAAATCAAAATTAGAAGAGACAAATGGATTTGGCCAATAAATTATAATTAAGTAGAATATTAAATATGATATTAAGATTTATATGGATGAAAGGGACAGATTTTATACATTTAAATATCAATGGTTTTATCATTGTTTCTAATTATGTTAATATATAGGTTTGCTATATTTCAAAAAGACAAAAACCCAACTATAGCCATGGAAATATATTTTCCACTGTTCTGCAGCCACATAATTTAATGTGGAATCTATCCTTCGGAGCAGAATTGTGCACCAAATCCCTAAGCTTTCATTTAAAAACAATGTAGCTTTCTAGCCTTCATGCTTATGAAGAAAACCTTAAAAATGTGAACCAAGGGTAAACCAATGCAATGTTGTCTTCCTGAATCTGCCCATAGCCTGAAACAATAGCTCTGAGAGGAGTGAACTGCCCCATTCATCTCAATGAGTTGACTCTGAAACCTAAAGCTGGCCATTTAAATATGAACGTTTAAAACAATTTCATTGCTGATCATCCTAGCAGAAATGTATAGCTAGCTTTGCTTCTCTCAAAGTTCTAAACTGATTCACGCCCTTCCCAAGGTGCCAGAAGCCCAGATTGTTCCTTAGCTGCCAAAACTTCCGACTTCCCCTGACCGCTGCTGTGATGAAGTTACATGCTTTCAATATAGAAATCTGCAGAATATCAAAAATTGAATATGGGGCAGCTTAAAATAGTTCACTATTTAACAAAAACGAATGACCAAGCTTATTCACAACACAGCTTTTCCACAAACATTTGAGCATTTTAGAATTATCACTAATCTAGACCCATTTCCTCCATCCATTCTTATACAGCAAAACACTTTAGTGAGTGCTTAACTTTAGGCATGTGCTTAAGTGCCATTATCTTCAATGTGACTTAAGCATGTGCTTAAATGCTTTGCTGAATTGGAGCCCCACAGTGCAAATTTCTAATTACAGATACAGATTCTGTGTGATTGGTAGAGCAAGAATTATGAACTGAGGAAATTCACAAACCTCAAATACATCTGAGAATTTTACCATCTATTCACAGATAATTTGTGAACAGAAAAAAGGCAAACTTTATTTGCTGTTCTCTCTGAGTCTGACTGCAGTTCTTATCTTCCTGTCTTGATACATGTCATCAGGCCGATTATATGGCTACTTCCTGTTTCACTATTTCATATTTAAATGAGATATGGATTTTAAAATAAATAATTTCTAGCTATTTAGCCATATTTTATATTGGATCAAGTGCCTGGAAACTATTTTATATTTCATTAGTTTTCCTTTAACCCAAGTCTGCAGGAGTGTAATCTGGGTAGCAGACACCTACATTCAATTCATTTTGCAGTAATATATTAGCTGATGCTTTTACCTGTGACTAGCTCTCTTCTTGCCTTTAGCAAAATCCCTACAGCCAAACAAAATGCCAGTGATATATTTGATTTGTCTCCTCTAATAAAAATAATTTCTCTGTGTGAATGATAGCCCTGGGGCGAAATCCTGGTCCCACTGAAGTCAATGGCTGCTTTGCCATCAACGTTAGTGAGGTCAAGATTTCACACTTGGTGTTCCCTGTGCCCCTCCCCACCACCTTATTTTCACCCCTCAACGTTTTTTTTTATTGTTTTTCTAAATTTGTCCTTTAAACAACTAATTATTTACTTTACTGTTTACCCAGGATGGTCAGCAATGGAGCAATATCTGTAATGCTGTTGGTTCCAGATGTTATTTGATTGCAGAAGATGCAGCCAAAAGTATTTCTAAACTTGTGGAGGATCAAAATATAAACGTACCAAAATGCAGTGGCCTTATAATAAAATATACAAATCAAACCAAGATATCTGACCTCACTGAACTTACCCGACTTCTAGATGGTGAGTAGTGGGAAAGTCTGAATTTCAAAACCCTATAATGAATACATAAGACAGCTATACCTGTGCAATCTATAAATATGTAATATTTCACATTTAAATACAGCAGTTGACAGTTTAGGATGTGCTTGTTAAAAGAAATTAAAACTCATGGCTTGATTGCCAAATATATTTAGGAGTTCATATATTCTGAAAATATTTAAGGAATCCTTATATTTCAGTGCTTCAAATGCACCTGAGTGATACTGTGCCTGTCTTAAATGTGTATGTATTTTCAAGCTATGGCTAAACTTTATATATTCAGACACCAGAACTGAAAAAGAAACATACAAACAAAAGCTGAACTGGAGGAAGCTGAAATGTTACGTGTAACAAACAAAACCAGATTAGACTACATTTGTGGACCAGACAGATAAATTAATGATTCTCTGTTATTGACCCTTGGTCGTTACTGTATGTAATGCTTGTGGGGGGGGGGAGGGGAGGGGAGAGGAGTTACATTTGTCAATATCTTATTTTGTTCTTTATAGGTTCCCAGAGACTTTATGATGGATACGTTTTTATATATCTAACTGTTCCCCTCCTCCCTAAAATAAAACAAAATAAAAAACCACCATGTCAAAAATCAATGAACAGTGAGCTTTAGGATTTAAATCACACCAGGTGGGAGGGCTGCTTTTCACAGTGAAGAGAAATCACTTCTGCTATGCTAGAGAATACATTTAGAATTAGAATACAGTACCTAGAACCCCATTCTACCATCTGGAATACATTGCCAGAATGATCAGCTCAGCCTGTAGTAGTTATAAGAATTCGAGCACAGATGCTCGGTCTCACCTTAGCCAGGCTGAAAGGAAATAGTTTTAACAAGGTAAAGAGAGAAATAATAAAAATGCAGACAGGTATTATATTGCAACAGTTAAACTGATGTTATTGTGTACTTTTCTATTAGGAGGGCATTTACTCCATCTTTCCCCTATTTGTATTTAACCTCAGAGCGAGCCAAAGGACTTAATGTATAAAAAGTGAAATCTATATTTTTGTGAAATATATCAAATATTTACTAATGAAGGTTAAAAACTCTTATTATATAGGTCAAAAACATATTGCCATATTAGGAAGTCCAGCTGGAGAATCTTCTGATGATAGCCTTGTAGATCTGGTATGTATTGAAAGCTGTTCAGTTGCAGAATTGCTAAACCATTGCTTTTATCATGAACTGGTATTTAGGAGAAAGGCTGTCTGTGTTTGAGAAAGGCATATAACCTATTAAAAGGGGTTTTTTCCTTAGAAAGTCACCTTTTACAGAGAGTTAATCTTTGAACTTTTATTATTTTTAAAAGCAAGAAAATAGCCAAAGCAGGATAAAGAGAACATACTTAAGTGTGTATTATCTATTTGCTTGCATTAGTCTGTAAAAATGTAAATGAATTACTGAAATTATATCTGAGTAGTAATAACCATCTTGTATAGTACATCTTAGCTCTGATAGTCTGTTTGTATTGACATTGCATTTGCAAATAAAGTTTCATTTCTTATGATAGTGATAATTAGTGTGCAACTCCAACTATACATTTAACTAAAGGAAGGTTTTATTCCCACATAGAGAGATGAGAAGTATTGTGAGTAGGGGTTTACTTTAGGACACCAAATTAAATAACTAGGAAGAAAGTGACTTCATTGCTAAACCGTGGAATTTTAAAATATGCACTTTTTTTGTCCTAAGGCTGTTGGCCTGGGTGCCAGGTTTATCAAGTTGGGAGGTCTTTCCCGTGGAGAAAGGGTGACCAAATACAACCGCCTTCTTGCAATAGAGGAAGAACTGGCCAAGAACGGAACACTGCGTATGAGCTTCTTTCTTGCTTGTTTTCAGCTTGCAATGAATAAGAGAACAAAGATTGCAGGAGGAATGATTGAAACTGCTCCACGGGAGGGAAAAGGAATGAAAAGACTATAAATAAGCAATGACAAAAAACTAGGATGGCACTTGCCACAACGTATATTGTTGTCCTAATGGATTATCTGTTTACCTGAATGTTAAAATAGTCCCCTTCTTGAGGAGTAGCCTACATCACATTTTGCACAGAATTAATTGGTTAGAATCTTCAAGCACATGTTGGCAAAAATAAGATAAAAATTAAATTAAGGTTTCTCCTCACAGAAAATTTTAGTCAAAAGCAGATGTGTCGCCATCATAGCTTCAGTTTACAACCCATTTCACAGTAATATTCTTTACAAAAACTATGCTGAGAAAGTTCAGGTTGCATGAATAAGCACTCAAAAGTCAGGAAATGCTAATGTTAAGGATGCATGTGCAACGTTAGCTGTGCTCCTTATAAAGAACAGGAGTACTTGCAACACCTTAAGAGACTAACAAATTTATTAGAGCATAAGCTTTTGTGAGCTACAGCGGATGCATCTGATGAAGTGAGCTGTAGCTCACGAAAGCTTATGCTCTAATAAATTTGTTAGTCTCTAAGGTGTTGCAAGTACTCCTTTTCTTTTTACAGATACAGACTAACACGGCTGCTACTCTGAAACCTGTGCTCCTTATATGTACCAGGATGAATGACATGGCCTGCATCTTCTCTCACTCCAGTTTTATGCTGGTATAACTTCACTAACTTCAGTGGAGTCACTCCTGATTTTTACCTGTGTAAGTGAGAGAATAAAAGCCCCAAACCTTTAACCCTTTGATAGCGTATTATTTCTTGCATATCTCAGATTTTTTTCATACAACTTTATATTCACATGTGTAGCATGTAATATATTTTCATTCTTTTATACTTACACTAACTCTAGATTTTTCTTATAGTCTAAGATATGTATAACTGTCAACAACCATGTATTCTACATGTTCTAATACAAGTGTAATAGCCTTCCTTATGTTCAATTCAGAGGGTGAGGCAGCTAAAGGAACACAGCCCGTTTAATTTTTTTTTTTTTGGTAAATAAAATGTTTACCTATTATTAACACTTCAGATTATTAAAATATATATATATATACACACACACACACACACTACTTACTTTCCCTACCACCACCATTTTTTGCATTGGTCTTGGTTAGGACTATGAAAAAAAAAAATCTATGAAATCAGTTTACTTTACACATATGTTAAAACTGTAACTAACAGCAATATAGTAATACAATAGCCCACATATAAGTTCACCATGTCCATGTTACTAGGAAAGAGACTTAGCTGAACGTGCATGTGTAGCACAACCTTTCTTAGGTGCATTTCAAGTGACGGGGCACATAACTACAGCGGTATGAACTTAACTGGCTCATCAGTACTTTAGTATGCAGTACTTTAGTACACTAAAAAAAAAACCCACCAAGCACTGACAAATGTTTAAAAATACACCTCAAACTTCAGCAGTTTCTTGCAGATAACACTGCTCTAGCTGTAATAAACCCGAGTAGCAAAGTCCACATCCACTTCTAACTACTCCCGTCTCCACATAGAAGGGATGGGCCTATCACTATGCCCTGAAGATTAACAAAGTCAGGCTTTTATGGACCAAGGTTCTGATCCTGCAACCAACAGTGTACTGGTGAACTGCTACACCTGCATTTAGCCCCATTAGACTCTAAGGGCCAGTTTGCGGAAAGTATTTAGGCACCTAAAGATGCAGATAGGTGACTAGTGGGTTTTTCAGAAGTGCCAAGGCATCTAGGAGTTAGGTACCCTGCCACTTTTAAAAATCCCATTAAGCACCTATCAGCATCTCTAGGCACCTTAATACCTTTAACAATCTGGCCTAGCTTCTCTGTCAGTTGCAGATCAGTCCCAAGGGAGGTAGTGAGTTTTCATTCATATTAAAACTGTGTACTTATGTAAATTAAGCATAATACATGCATCATTTGGGATTATATTTTTTAAATCTAGTGTAGTGTCTGCAAATTTGTTTAGAACAATCAAGGAACTTTTTTTCCATTGCAGGTTCAGGAGAAAACCATGAATTTGTTGATTTTGCTGAAGAGGCACAAACAGCGGAAGAACTTCTCGATGCACTCCCTCCCATAGAGCAGGACTCATGGCCTTCACAGCATTCTCAGCCTCTGCTGGCCCAGGACCAAAATCCTGTTTCCTTACGTGGTAGTACACTGCATCTCAACGAGGCTACCAAGATGGACCCATCAATATTTCCTTAATGACAGTTTGGCACTAAGTTGATATCAAAGGTCTAGTCCATCAAGGTGCTGAGCATCCTCAGCTCTCATTAAAGTTAATAGGAGTTGAAGGTGCTCAGCACCACACAGGATTGGATCCTAAATTTTGAGTTTTAGGTTCTGATGATGCCATTAGGTCTGTGAGGAGGTTAATCATGTGCTTGTGTGGAACCCTACTTAAGTTTCCACATGGTTGCAAGGGGTTCCCCCTTGTGCCAATGCAATAAGGCGAGAGCTCTAGTGAATTCTCAGTGAACCAAACTTCAATTGTTTGATTGCCATTAATTCTACCGTTACATCTACCTAACAATAAACTATTTTTAAATGCCTGAAGTTCAGCATTACTTTGTTTTCATTCAAACACATCCTATTTTGATAGTTTTTGTACCTGTGCATGTTTTATTAGTCTCTAATTCTGCTGTATCTGCTACACCTTGTATTTAGCTGTGACATGCTGAGTACTTTCCCAGACTGAGAAGAGCTCTGTGTAAGCTCAAATGCGTGTCTCTCTCACCAACAGAAGTTGGTATAATAAAAGATATTACTTCCCACTCACCCTGTCTCTATAATTCTGCTATAAGACACTGCACTACTAAAATAGGGGTTTATATTTCTTTGTATATATTTTAGCCAGGGTAAATTTGTAACACAAAATAATCCTACACAGTAAGTCATTTCTTATTTTAGATATTCTATAACACTTACCTGAAGATACTTTGTGTGGGATTTTCAAAAACTGCTCCACACTGACCTATCTCTGCTCCCACTGACTTTAGTAGAAACAGAGTTAGGCCAGTAGGGAGAAGTTTTTGAAAATCTTACCCATCATCTGCAAAACAAGATTTTGGAGTACTGGATGTTTTAATAGCATTATTTTCTCTCAACTCTGCATAACTATATTTACTTTTTAAACAATAACAGTCTATTCATTTTAAAATGATCCTTAAGGTTTATATATAAGAACAACAAACTATGGACAAGTAATAAGCAAACATTTTATGAAAACAAAAACTTGGCTGTTATGCTATTTCATCACACAACACATCCTCAACACCTCTCATCAGCCTGGTGTACATCAGGAATTTTGTCCTGATTTGAGCAATTGATGGCCAGTTACATCAGTGTAAACCCCAAGTGTAGACAAAAAGAGCTGCACTTTGCACAGGTAGAAGAGGTTACCCCATTTTCAAGTAAGGAATAACAATAACAAGATTTCAGTGTTTGGGAAATTGTCAGTAAGATTTTTTAATAAGCAACAGTGAAAAGATAAATAATTTATATCAGTGTAACAGAAATAGTTTACATAAAAAGAAGTATTTTTTAAAAAAAACCTTGTTTTAGGATAGCTTGCGGTTAACATATACAGCAGTAGTAATAATTTGAGGAAAAATACATTTATAAAATTTTACATTTTAAATTCAGTGTAAGCAAACAGATACCTAAGTGTAAAATTAACTACTAAAAACCCACAGAAATGTAGATCTACAATAAAGTGACAAATTTCCCCAAATTTAGGAAATACATTGAGTTAACTAATTAGATCAACCCCAAGATTTGCTTCGCAAACATGCCAAAAAAAAAAAAAAAGCGCACAACCACCACATTCATGACTATCATTTTCTTTCTAAAAGAGAAGCACCAGACAGCTCCATGCAAAGCCAAGCTAACAAGCTGAACATATTCATCCTTTTCAATAGTTAAAATACTATCACTGTTTCTTATGGGCATTAAAAAAAACCTCCAATAGTGCATTCAGGTATATTACCACTCAACATCAGTAACACCAATCTTCAGTTTAAGTTAAAAAATAAATCCCTGATTACATTTGTTTGTTCAATGTAGTCGACAAGTAGAGTGAAATATTGTGCTGATTTTTAAAAATGTCTATGGAATGGGGATTGGTAGTGAAGAGTAAGTTATATACCTGTAGCTCTATCTTCATGAGAGAGAAGGGCCTTGATAAAATGTGGTACTTGTGTTATCACATGATAACACAACTCATGCCACCACAGTATAAGGCTTACAAGGATCATGTAAGTTTGTGCATTAGTAATACTGGACCTGCTCTTGAAGTCAATGGGAGCTCTGAGTGCAGATCAATTGCAAGACTGACAGAGAGGCCCAATCCTGTATACATTTACTCACAGGAGTCCAGTAAAATTTATTATTTATTACAGTAGCCCCAAGAGGCTCCAACCAACTTCAGATCCCCACTGTGCTGGGTGCTGTCTGTGCCCTGAAGAGTTTACAATCCAAACAGACAAGATGGACAAAAGTTGGGAGAACAAAACGGGGAACTGAGGCACAGAAAAATTAAGTGATTTGCTCAACAACATATAGGAAGCTGTGTCAGAGCTGGGAACGGAATCCAGATCTCCTAAGTCCCAACCCAGTGCATTAACCACAGGCCCATCCTTCATCTTCAACTCAAAAGGATTTACATTTACTTCAGCGGGAGTTAGCTCATTAAAGCCAGACTACAATGGACTCCTATGCATAAGGATTATTTACATGTCTAATGATGTGCAGGAATGTATTGTCGCACTGTGATCCAGTAAAGGGGGAGTGGAAATGTCCTCATAGGCACAGCTTTTCAGGATTGGGCCTTGTTCATTATTTTCCTATTCCCACTCTATATTGAGGACCTTATTCCATTGAAATCAATAGGAGTCTTTCCATTGGATTTCAATGGAAGTGGGATCAGAACTTAACAGAGTTTCAATTCCCACAGGCTAAGGAAGCATCAGTTTAACATTCTAAATTTAGAAACAGTCACCAAAACTCCTGGTACCAAACTGGCAAACTGCACTGCCTGTTTTCACTGCTCGTGTCAACTGTTTACTGGAGAGACCATTTCACGTTTGTGCTTTAAAATGATTTAAAATAGCTTGTGTGAAGATGTTAGTGAGGAGGAGATCAGTAGAAGCCCTGTATTAAACAGGAATCAAAACATTTTTAAGGCAGTGTCTCAAACTGATTTTTATTGATATTACCCAGTCTAAATGAGGAAAGGTACTTCTTTGTGATTACCTACTTAGGGCCTGATCCAAAGCCCACTGAAATCAGAGGGAGGCCTTTCCACTGACTTTAGTGGGCTTTGGATCAGTCCCTTATTGGCTTTTACAAAGTGTCCAGCTAACACACACACAAAAAAAGTGGGATTTTTTTGATAAAATTAAAAAACAATATTGTGAGTAACCTATTATCTAGGAAAATACACATACGAGACCAAAACAAAAAGGGATTTCGAGTTGTATATAGTTATGTAACCTGCTAATGCATATACCAAAATTGCATACAATAGGCCATTTCAGTAAACTATTACTGAATATACTTCTGAGTGCAGAATATAGCCCTTGCCAATTCACCTAAGCAATTTACACTTACTGAGAAGGACTTCCAAAAATCTCAGCCTTTTGGCATAACAATTAGCAGTTAGAGCTGTCTGAATCTTTTGCTTTATTAACAGTAGTTTCTTTACATAATTGTTTATTTTTTTCTTCTTTCATCTTGTGTTGATTTATGATTTTTTCAAGCATCTGGTCTTTGGTTTGTGCTTCACTGGTGGAAACAGGATCTAAAACTACAATCGATTCCGTTTGATTTTCACGGCTAACAGATTTTCTTGCAAATCCCAAGTAACTAGGTGACCTGGGAAGAAAAGTAGAATAAATAAATACACAGATAAAAGGTTTCTTTATCACATTTTTGGAACAAAAGTGAGCAGAAATGTATTTAAATTATTAGCAGCTTGGATGACCAGGATAGTTGCATTGTACTGACAATGACAGACAAGTATAATAATCAGTTAATATACTAAATACACTATGAATTTAAGAAGTGAACTAGGAAAATTTAAGGTATACAGCAGCAAACAAGGGCTTTCAGACTATGAAGGAGAACGTCATTTTTAAGTGACATTCTCTTTTCTGTGATCTCTCTACATCAGCTCATAGCTGGACCCCAGGTTTTAGGTTCTACATGTCAGTCAGGGAGGTGGCAGTAAATAAAACTCGGGATATTCACACCATAATCCTGTAGTGAAGTAGGGAGAACGTGGCTTCTTGTCCACAACTGCATTCTGCCCCCTCAAAGAGGATGAACACAGCCTAAATGTCCTAAACTCTGCCACATGCTACAGAGGTAGACTGAGATGGTCAGATATTCAAATTGTGCTCACCACTCTGCATCATTCTCAATGTAGAGCACTTCTGACAATCCAGCCATGAGATTCACTAACATGCAGAGGGTAATGAGCCCAGATTCTACACTTTTTGAGATAGGCTAATTCTCTGATAGTTTGCTGTGGGGAGATCCTCACAGGAAGAATAATATTGTGGGTGCTTGCCTAGGGAGACCACCACAAAGCCAACTGAAAGGACTTGACTACTAGTTTTCTACTAGTGAAGTTACAAGTGTGCAACCCCCTAGTGTAGATAACTGCACCAGTGTAGAATAGGGCTAGCACTGGTATGACTTTGCCTAAATGAGACTACAAAAGGGGTCTACTTGGGGCAGCTACATCCCTGTGACTAGGTAAGCATGGGCAGATGAACTACATCAGTGCAAAAATCCCTAATGTAGATAACCCCTAGATTCACCAACAAGTTGGTGGCTCTGCTCTCATGAAGAGCTAACTACACATGACTGCTGGGTTCAGCTGCACATGCTTGCCTGGAGCCATTTTTTGTCTATCTCCAACACAATCAGCAATGCAGCTCCAAGCTGCCAGTAAGTGAACTTGAGTTACTGAAAGGAAAAACTAGAATCTACAGAAGGAAAAGAAGTGAATGTGATGGCTCCATCTGTTATGAGCTGCCCTCTCATGTGACTGACTGAGACAGAACGACAACAGGGAGAGAGGACACCTGGTTCAGCAACAAACTCAAGCGATGAGATTTCATGGGATCCTATCGGACAGATAGGGAGGTAGTAAATTCTGCAACCTGAACCGATGCAAGTAAAGTCACAGAAATGGCAAGTTGTACTGAAGGTTTGTATTCTACACCCGAAGAGTGAAATTTCTCATCTGGTTTACGCAAGAGACGAATGTTTTGCATTTACATTTCAAACGACACATGGTTGTTTGCATTTAGTGAAATTCCACGTTCAAGCAACCTTCACAAGCATCATGTCTAACAGAAGAGCTTCAGTACAAGTTAATTAATTCTGAAATTGGCACTAAGAGATACAGTTGCAGACTCACTTGAATACAGTCAAAACACACAAAATTAAGAAGGAAAATGCTGCTTATTTTATGCAAATGATGCCTCACTCAAGTATTTTCAGCAAAAATAAGCAAGGTGGGATATTGTGAACATTACAGTGAATGAAACTTTTCAGAGCACTGTAACTACAAGAGGGTTATTTTAGAAAGTGCTACGTCTGAAAAGCTGATTGCCCAACACTATAAAAATGGTCAAAGCCATAAATGCCACGTTCATTTTTATTTCACTTCGGAGGTAACTATCTTTCAAATCTCAACAGCTGGACCATTTAATACAATCTGGTGAATCAAAGTATAATTCTGCACTGGGCTCACAGCAGGGAGTCTGCATTAGTGCGTGGCAGCCATCCAACAACTGATGCACAGCCAAACTGAAGTCTGTTTCACTTACAATAAAAATGGATAAAACTGCAATCATATTTACCACCTTCAAGGACAGAAAAATGAAAGATTTAAATCTGTCGATATAAAATAGTTTAATGGAGAAATCCAGTGATTAAGTCCAGTGTTATATTTTCTAGTGTAAAAGAAGGACTATTCACAATTCATTTTACTAGTATTTCCTTCGTCAAGTCCTTTACACAGCTACACCAGTTTGTCAGGACTGCTGCTAGGGAGTGTTATTGTTTAAATTATAAATCCCATTTATATATCTCACTCGTAACAGTTCAAATACAGCTGAAATTTGGAATGATATAGTTTCAGCCCAAGAGTAAATATAAAGTCATTTTTAAAAAGCAAAGAAAATTCCACGCTTTGTCAAAAAAAAAAAAAATCAACTTTTATTGCCACAAATAAAGGTTGGGAGAGCAATTAGTGCATAATATGGTTAACTGCCTTTAAAATATATTTTACTACAAATCCAACTGACTCAGATATTTACTTCCAGCTCTACACAAAGCATCTTTCCATTCAGAATTTTATTTTGGATGTCAAACTCAAATTATTAGCTGTGCAAATACGTGTTGAAGACTGAAATATTCTCCGAGTTCATATTTACAACAGAATAGTGCGGAAATCCAGACACTTTATATTTTTCAAAGCGACTAAATGTTTTTAATCTATTATATGAAACCTAAATACATTTTTACAGGATAAACGGTAATATAACTGGCAGTCTAATGCGTCAGCTCCCCGGCAGTTTCGAGCAGGAGTGCTTGTCATTTTAACCCAGAAATACCCACATTAACACCGTGACACAAGCCAACAAAACAAAGAGTTATGCCTGACGGTCAATCTGAGAAATAGTGGCACTGTCGCTTTTGCAGTAGCTCTGACCTTGGGGGCAGCTGCAGTAAACAGAGCAAACTGAGGACCAGTTCCGTCAGCTCTGATGTGGATTTTCCTTTTCGTCACTGGTTTGCAGTGAAACTTCCAGATTATTAAAATCTGGTTTTCTGTTAATTATATCATTTTGTTATAGACACTGAAAGCTAAAGATTCCTAAATTCACGTCTGGACAGAGTCCTGATCGTTTGCAAAAGCACAAGCCCAAAAGGACAACATTAAGAGAGTGAAAAAACACCGTTGAAACATTCATGTTTCGATCCCACAGTTTGATGACATTAACACAATTCTACGCTAACTATGATTTCGGGAGAAAGAACCAGGAGTCCTTGTGGCACCCTAGAAACTAATAAATTTAGTTTCTAAAGTGCCACAAGGACTCCTCCTTCTTTCTGCTGATACAGACTAACACGGCTACCACTCTGAAACCTATGCTTTCAGGATTTCCCTATTAATTTACCATATCGAAGCAAAATCCCCTGAAAAGAGTGTTGTCCTCATCCAAAACTAAATATGGTTTGAAGCTTTATGGAAGCTGGGACTAGATTAACATCATATTATGGGACACTGCAGCTTACGCTACCTAGAAACCAAACCTGCGACTCAGGTTCAGGTTTGAGCATTGTTGTAGCTGTGTCGGGCCTGAGAGACAAGCTGGGTGAGTCAATACGTTTTATCGGAGCAATTTCTGTTAGCGAAAGAGAGAAAATTTCCAGCTACTCAGAGCTTGTCTCTAAGGGTATGTCTATACTACCCGCCGGATTGGCAGGCAGAGATCGATCAAGCAGGGGTCGATTTATTGCATCTAGTCTAGACGCGACAAATCGACCCGAGTGCTCTCCCGTCGACTCCAGTGCTCCACCAAGGTGAGAGACGCAGGCAGAGTCAACGGGGGAGCGTCAGCAGTTGACTCACCGCAGTGAAGACACCGCGGTGAGTAGATCTAAGTACGTCGACTTCAGCTACGTTATTCACATAGCTGAAGTTGTGTCACTTAGATCGATCCTCCCTCCCGTCCAGTATAGACCAGGCCTGAGACTTGGTTTGTCATATCTTTGTCTACTAAGGGTATGTCTACACTACCCGCCGGATTGGCGGATAGTGATCGATCTATCGGGGATCGATTTATCGCGTCTAATGTAGACACGATAAATCGATCCCCGATCGCTCTGCCGTCGACTCCTGTAATCCACTGCGGCAAGAGGCGAAAGCGGAGTTGACGGGGAGCAGCAGCAGTCAACCCCAAGCCGTGAGGACGCGAGGTAAGTCGACCTAAGATATGTCGACTTCAGCTACGCTATTCTCTTAGGTGAAATTGCGTACCTTACATCGACTCCCTCCCCAGTGTAGACCACGCCTAAGAAAAACTTTCCTACAACCTCTCCCAGAAACTAAGGTGAAATTCACTCCTGTACTACAAAACTTAAGGAAATGGGCTGTATGCACAGAACTGAACAGGGGGTCAGTGTTTGTGACATTTATCTCCCTTAATCCACAGGCAGGTCACAAGGCTGCAATGCAACTTTCCACAGGCTACTAGTCCAACCTATGTGCTCTTTACAACTCCCTAAACCATGGATTTGGGCCAAATCACAAAACCATGGATTTGGGCCAAATCACAGATCAGTAACCTGTCTCTGTACCCACCTTCATTGACCCTCTTCTGCACCAGGCTATTTAGGGAAGCACAGGCCAACTGTGGCCCTCTACAGAGGTGTGGTAGACATCAGCCTGAGAGTAAATTAACCCTTAGAGCATTAACACAGCAAGTGCTGCAGAAATACATATGAGAACATTTCAGAATCTGTAGCAGAGAAGTGAATAAAATTCAAAGGACTAAAGGCAAATACCTGTTATATTAGTATATAGAGATAATGAATTTTCACAAAACCTTCTTTACACTCTAGTTCTTTTCAAATGTGAGTTTTGGGAATGAAGAAATTGCCACAGTGGATAAGAACAGTGGTCCAGCTATTTCTTTTTCCTATCTCTGACAGTTGCCAATACCAGGAGAAAGAAATCTTATAATAGACAATCATAGAATACCTTGCCCATGTTGGAAGTTCTTTCCTAAGCCTAGGCAGGTAGTAGTTAGCTACAAGGAATTTCATGCTCAACAGAACTGAATTTTTAGAAATACTCCATAGTCAGTGGGCTGGACTATCAAACCACCTAAAAACCATTGGTTTCAGAGTAACAGCCGTGTTAGTCTGTATTCTCAAAAAGAAAAGGAGTACTTGTGGCACCTTAGAGACTAACCAGTGCATCCGATGAAGTGAGCTGTAGCTCACGAAAGCTTATGCTCAGATAAATTGGTTAGTCTCTAAGGTGCCACAAGTCCTCCTTTTCTTTTTCTAAAAACCATTGTCACTTTTATGCCTGCCGTAGCATGTACTTGAATAATCAGTGAAAGTCACTGAAATGGAATGGTTTTGAATATCGTTTCAGTGTCAACTATCTGCACTATAATTTAGGGTATTTTTATACATTTTATACACACACACACACACGAGAGAGAGAATTTATGTCAGCTACTTTTAAAACTATTTGTTAAAAATAAGAAGATTCTCAACTTCCAGAACATCCCATTGTCCTCCTCATTTTGTTCTTCAAGCTTAATTGTCCATGTTCAACCTGCATACGGAAAACCTTTGTAGTTGTGTCTTGCTGAGGCCGAGCTGTTTCCTGCAGTGTCAGTAGACAATTCAGTGGTACTAAGATTACAGCTGAGAGGAGGAGAACAAATCCTTTAATTGTATAAAATCATCAGATTAAGCCTTCCCCTCTGCGTAGTTCATTCTGTTAACTGAGTCATCTACTGCCTGGAAACAAATGTTTACTAAGAGGGGGAAAAAAAAAAGGAAGAGCGAGGCACACCTTTCCTTTCTATGTGTACACACCACAGGAGCCATGGGAACTCCCGTGGCTTCCAACCGAACAAAACATTAACTAGTCTCTCTTGAGGAATTGCCATTAAATTAAGACCCCTGCTGGGATAAATGTTTGGGAGGACAGTTGTATGGGGAGTCGTCTTAAAGTTGAGCTAAGGCCCACAGTTTCTGTTTGTGACCCATTCCTTCCTGTGCCTCTCCTCCCCACCCCCCAGCTCCCGATTCCACACCAGCTTATTAACAGCTTCTAGCCTTCAATTTATTAACCTGTTGTATTGAAATCACTGGACTGATAGTCAAAAACAAAGCATTGTTCTCTCAACTAATTTTTCCAAATTCTGAAATATGATCAGTTAGTCTGTTTACAGGGATGTTTTAGAACTGACTTGCATCTACTCACATGAGGCCCAGTTCTAGAATCCTGGCTCAGACTGTGGAGCGCTTACATATATGTGAGTACTCCAATTACTTTATTTAAGTCACTATCTTGTAAGCACTTATAAACAAGAAACTTTATTCATGTGTTTAGTTCCATTTAAGCCAATGGGTGAAATTCTGGCCGCACTGAAGTCAATGGCAAAACTCCCATCGAGACCAGTGAGGCGTGAGTCTACTAGTGTCAGTAAATTATTCATGTGTTTGGATTGCAAAGTTGGGCCTTCACCGACTACATGATCCCCTTCTTCAGTGGGAGAATATTCCCCTTTCATGAGTGAAAGCTATTCAACGTGAGTAAATGTTGCAGAATTGGGCGTTTAATATTAGCTAACATTCTTTACATACCACTCAGACGATGGGCTACAGAAGACTGACAATAAAGCAAAAAGCAATACATCATGCAGGACTATTTACTTGATTTTTTCAATAGGGATGCTGTAGATCTTTACATTTAAAGTTAGAGCAAACCAAAGAAAAACAGATTACATGGGAAAAGAGTTCCTGTAATTAGGGAACCTGTACTCTTGCATGGCAGGGTGCACTGTCGGTGGTCTGACAAACCACTGAAAACAATAATAAAGGTCAAACCTTTGTCAGGGTTTAAAGAAATGTAAATGGTAATGAGATGGACAAAGCTTCTTATCTTGGGCGGGAAGAAGGACAGTGACAGTTAATAATTTGCTTGTACCTCTTGCTTAGGTGTCTGGTCAAAGCAGAGTGTTGTTTGTTTCTTACCAGCCTGGTTAACCATGAAGTAAATCTAGGATGCTACTTAATTACAGTTTCAAGTTGTCAGCTGTGTTCAGCAAAATGATTTTGCCCTGACTTCAGTCCTCCTTCCAAAGCAACATACATTAGTGCCTAGGGCAGGGATCGGCAACCTTTGGCATGAGGCCCGTCAGAAAACTTCGCCGGTGGGCTCGGACGGTTTGTTTATCTGCAGCGTCCGCAGGTTCGGCCAATCGCAGCTCCCACTGGCTGTGGTTCGCCGTTCCAGGCCAATGGAGGCTGCAGGAAGCGGCGCGGGCCGAGGGATGTGCTGGCCGCTGCTTCCCACAACCCCCATTGGCCTGGAACGGCGAACCGCGGCCAGTGGGAGCTGCGATTGGCCGAACCTGCGGACACCGAAGTAAGCAAACCATCCCGGCCTGCCAGCGGATTCCCCTGACAGGCTGCGTGCCAAAGGTTGCCGACCCCTGGCCTAGGGGCTGCTCCAATGAATCCTGGCTGCGAACAACCCCAACTGACCAAAAATGCAGTTAGGTATCAATATGATGCAAGGCACCCTGGCCAGGTCCTCTTTTCCCTCCCAGCCCAGCAGCCTTTTCCCAGGGAAATGGCACCAGAGTCCCTACACCATCTGTATTCCACTGGAGGATCCTGCTTGACAATAGCTTTGGGATGGTTCCCCCCAGTTAGGCCAGTTTACACCAATGGAACAGCATACCTCACTAGAGAACCTGGCCCACAGCATTTGTATTGGTGCATTAACAGATAGATTAAAATTAAATGCGTTTTTTAGGTTCCCACAGAATAGGCAAGCTGCAAAATAAATTAAGCTTCACATATGCTTTTATAGCACGTAACAACTGTGACTGTCAACACAAGATCCTTTTCACTGTCAATTCACCACGCATTCTGCAAGACCTTGGGCCTGCAATTATTTCATTTCCTTTCTTGCAAATGTAATTTCCACTTAGTTTGGTGGAATAAAAGGTAGACAAAAAGTGGTAAGAGTCGCAGAATTTTCTGATTAAGGTTATCTGTTCAAAATGGTAAATATCTATAGGCTAACAATGCAGTGTTTCTCAGAAACAAACTCACCTCTGCCGAATTGCCTCTGTATCAGGGTATTGGTTAAAAAAAAACAAAACAAAAAACCACACAGCTACATTGTGGAGGTCAAATTAATTGTTAAACAAATTTAAAATCAGAAAGATAAAGAGTAAGTATAGATCACATTTCTTTTAAGGACTCTTATTGAATATATTTCAGTGGAGGAAGACACCTGATTGGAGAGAGAAATTTGCTTTTAAAATTCAATTGGGATTAAATAAAACTATAAGGCACAGAAAGGATATAAGGCCTTTCATTAAATAAAAACAAAACAAAGAGAGAGAGACAGAGAGAGATGAAAGCACCAACAAGAGAATAAAGCAAATATCAGTTCACAAAAAATATATCTGAATTGAATTTCCAGTTCATTTGTCCTGATTCTCCCCTTTGAACTAAGCAATGGAGACCTACGAGAATAGGTGTTCTTTTTCTACTGATGGAACAGGAAATCAGAGGTTTAATTAACCATGATTATAATATTCTGCTGATCTGATTTGTCTCACCTATTTCCTTTTTCTTTAAGTGACAGACTACCTGACAAACATCCTGGCAAGAGAACTAAAGCAAATCTGCAGACTAATTTCAAAAAGAGGTTTGCATTGTTATAAAACAAACTGATCCTCAACCGGATCTGTCTGAAATGTATATTTCTGAAGCAGGATTAACTCTTTGATCCTTAAATGGAACTTTGAAGCTTCAATCTGTTGTACCAAAAGAATCCTCTGTCTGTTGTGCCAAAATAGTATCTGATTCTACATTTTCTTTCAGCATCTAAATCCTGTGACTTCCGGATAGTTCGACATTTCCATTTCCTGCTGTTAAATCTTATTTTGAGATTGTGAAAATGTGCATTCCTTTTCATCCACAGGGGGCAAAAACCAAAAGTAACAATTTTCAATTGGTCAGGTTTATTTAACACGAATGTTGGATTTACAAACTTGCTGTTTGTTTTTTAAAACCAAGAATACACTGCCCACCTATATCCCCTCTTCTTTATTAAGAATGGGGAAAATACCTCAAGTATTCCTCCAAAAGTCCCACTATCTTTTTGTAGTGAGAGATCCTGAATATCTCTGGGCAGTAGACTCATTGACTCTAGGGTGACAAGAGCCTTGTTATAATGGAGAGTTCAATCTCCAAGCGGGACTGAGTGATAACTTGTATGAACAGTTACATATTGCAATTTTTCCTGATTAACAAAGTGATGTAAATGGCATAAATATACACCAGTGAGATAGGTTTGGCATTAACATCTGACTGGATGTCCATAAATAGCATTACTTACTGAAATGTAACCTTAGAACTTGCGCTTTCCTTCATTTGAAGAGACCCTTCGCCCAACTCAGGTGTTTTGGAGCTGAATTCTGCCTCCAGAGTTTTCTTGTTCAGTGCTGTTTGTGTAGTACCGGATTCTGAACCTAACACTGGCATGGATTTGGATTCTGATGTGGCCAAGACTCCAGCCGGACCTAAAACCCAAACAGAGTTTAGCATTTTTGTTACCCCTGCTTGTCATGGGTATTGAATCACAGATCAGCCCAATGTAATTCCAGTCAATTAGGTAGGTCAAATCAGTTCCTTAAAGAGTAGCTTCTAATTCATGGAAAGTGCTGAAATGCATTCCATTTAGAATCAGCCTCTCTCTCTCTCTCCAGTGTCAAAATGCCATGGCTCAGTGCAGCCAAGCCTAGGATTTCGAAGGGTCCCACAGGAACTACAGAACCCCAGCTGCTGTCTGAATTCACTCAGCTGAGAAGTGTGGACTGGTGAGTATACTGAAGGTGTTAATGTTTCTCTTTTCTGCTATAAAAGGATATTTGAACAAAGCTTTAGAACCATTAAAAGCTGCCACCAGTACTTGTTCTTCAGAGGGAGTGAATTCAAGATGGCGGCTGTAAGCTATCATTCCCCTATTTTACATTAGTTTATGAAACACACCTTTGCAGGAAGCACAGAGCAGCAAAGTCAGTCCAAGGACTTCAGTAATGCTGTCTGAACTCAGGAGCAGAAGGTTTACAAGGGTGGGCGGAGAGCACTGACACACAAAATAAATCTGTTAGTCTTTAAGGTGCCACCCGACTCCTTGTAGTTTTTGTCGATACAGACTAACACGGCTACCCCCTGATACTTATACTAGAGAAAATTGTGATGGCAGAGTGAAGCTATTAAGGGGAAGTGGATCAGCTGGGAAGCAATTAGAGCTCTCCCAAATAATATTGGGTGAACCTGGAAAGGTCTTAAAGACAGAGTAATTTGGCTTTAAATAGCTTTAATGCAAGTTCTATGAAACTCAACAGTAGGACTATGAAGGGATCGAGCCAACTTACTACTGCTGTCTTGCTCGGCTGTCACTTTCCTGCGCCGTAAAATTCTTTCTAACTCAGTTTCATTGTTCTCTGTGTCTGTTTCAAGAGATTTTAAGCTTCTTGAACTGGTGGATTTGTTGAGTGTTTCCTGTAGTACGAAATATACACAGAGGGTCATTAGAACACAGGCTCTTCCAAAACAGTAGATAAGGTCAAACAAGTGAAACAGGTATTGGAGATGGTAAGTGTTACCCCTTTAGATTAAGTAAGTAACAGTTCTGCTCAGTCAGCACTACGAACCAGGAACTCCTGATTCTAATACTATCACAGAGACCCTCCGGGACACTGGGCAGGTCACTTAACCTTTCTACCTCAATTTACCTATCAGTAAAATGGGGAGAACCGTGATTACAGAGCGTTTGTGAGGCTTACTGACCCATAATCAGCACAGGAGGAGGCCCCTGGCAGTGGAAAATTCGATCTGTGGGGAAGCCTGCAAGGGATCTGGGCTGGCCAAAAATGAGGCAGTGCTGGCGAGGGAGAGATTAGGTCTAGGTAATTTAGCACAACCCCTGAACAGACTCCGTGAAGACCTGACCTCAAGCTAACAATGCCCTTTCCTGGTGAATCCCACTCTGTAGCAAGGAATCAGGCTAGCTCTGTGTGGGTAAATCTGGTAGATTATTTCTAAAGCGCTATGTAAATGCTAAGTATAATTACCGGAACAAACCCAACTATTTACACAAATACTGGAATACTCCCCCTGTTAAAGCTGTGAGGATCTTAACAATATTTTACAAGAGGAATATCTTGTTAGTAACAAACCTTCTCTATTAGCTGAAAGCCAAAGAAACACGTTTAATTGACTCCTATAGTATGCTACCTTTTCTAAATGAAGTTTATTTATAGGTGACACACAGTGTCTTACAAATCAGTGTGCTAAACTGCCCTACTAATCAAGGTTACAGCAGGTTCATTTAATTTACCAAAAGAAATACCCACTATGCTCATGCTGATCTCACAAATCCTTCAATGCCCACTAAAAACCTCAAGTATTTTCATAGGCCTGGCTGTGTCTTTTGGTGGCAGAATCAGATCTCTGGTTACAGCTTCCTTTTAGCATACACAGAATACAGACCAACGTCATCGCTGCCTCATATTGAGGTTAACACTTTTGTAGCCTCTGGCTTAGGCCAAAAGGCAGGGTCTGATTTTACAGCCCTCCTAAGAAAAAGTCTTCCTAAGCCGAAACCTCTAAAAATGCTGCCACTGGAATTTTAACTGGCACAAAGCATGCTCAGCATGCTCCTCCAGTCTGGCAGGAGTTACACTGCCACCTTGTCAAATACCAAATTGACTGTAAAATTGCCCTAAATGTTTATAAATGGAGCTCAAAATTTGGGACGTGTATTTATTGCTCTCTCTCTCTCTCTCTGAGCCTCACCATTGTTTGTGAGCCTTGTAAAGCCTGTTTGCTGGCAGCTGCAAAAAACACATTTAGAGACCCACACAGCAGGTTTTCAGCGGTGTATCCCAGCTCAACTCAGGCTAGGTCCAAAACGCGATGTCAAAAAAATCTCAAGACTAATATTTAAAATAAAATAAAATAAAATACAACAAAAACAAAAACAAAACAACCACCCCAACAACCTCCTTACGGACAGAATCTTTCATATGGTACATGGGCCTGATTCTCAGAAGTGGTGGATACACTCAAGGAGAGTTGTGAGTAATCTAATACACTAGGTTTACCCATGAGGATGTAAAGCTCATTTGAATGAAAGCAGCAAAATGCATTTATTCACTGTGTTACTAAGTGGGAATGAGTTGTCAAAAATTATTATTAAAACACAGCAATCCAGCTTATTCCTCGCAATATTACACATATGTGACAAGAAATAAGGTTACAAGAACACGTGTATTCTTTCCAGATGTTCATAACTACACCCCTCTCACTGTAATATCTCAATGCCTCACACAGAGTTAAAAAGAAATTCACCAACGGCAATGGCCTTAATTTTTTCCCTACTTCCTTCTGATGGAGTTTGGGGTACTCTCCCCGTTCCCCATTTCCTTCTTCTCTTCTCTTCCAAATTCCTTCTCTCTTTTTCCTCCTGATTGTCTTTACCTTCCTTTTGTTCCTCTTCTTGCTTCTCCCTCCTTCGCTAATTCTAGTGGTGTCTGTGAGAAAGCCAGGCCAAAAGAGTGAGTGTACAAAGTCCTTGAGACCTGTGGTCATACAGATATCCTCCTGTATGAATGCAAAGTCTTGGATCTGTTGTCAGACAAGCCCGGTCTCGCATTGTCATGAGATTCACATTGAAGTTGATAACTTTATAGCGTCTCACAATTCCTCCCAAAAGGCATCATGTATCCTTTTAAAGAGACATGGGCAGACAATTAGTCTTGTGGGAGTCCACAAGGGAATACTGTGGAAGTGGAGTTACCTGGCTCTGATCTCTGGGACACCATGACCAATATCATCTGTTTCTAGGCTCTGCATTGTGTAACTCATTGCTAACCAGTTGAGCTTATGGACCTTGAGTTGGTTGCTTGCTGGTCTGAGATAGCACACCACTGGTATCTTCAGCTCAGTCCTATACACGGTCTTCTATGGATCAATTGTTCCATTGGCTCTATTTTCTGATATGGTATTGCCTTCCTACAGAGTTCCAACATGCATGAGCAACTGTTACTTATTGTCTTGGCTGCCAGGAAAAGTCTGGACTCCAGAAGTGGTCTATTTCTTCAGAGAGTAAACAGTGAAGAGATACAAGATACAGTGTTGTACATGTACTCTCATGAACGGGGCCATTAGATTTCAAAATCAAACAGCAGCTTATAAGTCACAGAGGCAGCACTATTTCCAGGACTCCATCAAAACAGCTTTTCCCTCAATAAGTTAAAATATTTTACTTTGTAGCTATTCCGAAATTAACTGAGCTGGGGTATTATTAATGAGTAATATTCCTCAGCATTGTACTAATGTTACAGACCTAAAAGTAAACCAAACAACTGAGTTGCTTTCCTTGAACTCTGCAATTTACAGAATGAATATAAATGTGTTTATAACAATTATACGGAGGTCTGCATGGAATGCACAATTAGCACAGTAACAACAAACACGTAAGTATTTATTTCTTCCGTATCCACCCCCATGTTTGTCATCTGACTGTGCATAATGATTAGTCTCAAGAATAGATTAGAATTTAGTTTATATAACACCTCTCATACTCTAAATATCCTGAAGAGTTACAAAAGGCATTGAGCTAGACACTGATAGCACAGTGATCATCGGTCTCCTCTTGCTCAGATTGAAATCAATGGCAAAGGACACACCGAGTTCAGTCATGAAGAACCGGCCCCTGACAGCAAATGAAATAGTCATTATGTACACTGCAATAGTTGACTCGAAGCCTTGGACAACAGAAGTTAGCTCCTAACAGATTGAACGCTAGCCAGGACATCAGGATGATCCTCCAGTCGCTTCACAAAGATGCCATTGGATCTTTAACTTATAGTTAAAGAATAATTTCTGCCAAAGATGGACAGAACTACCTCCAGTTTAATATTACCCCAAGATTGCCACCCTTGCTGCAAATTCCCCTTTCTCAGCACATCACACTGCGGGACTTGAACTCAAAATCTTCTGGACTAGAAGAGAGAGTAACCAGGTAAGCCAAAGATGGTGGCATAAAACATCATTCCTTGTTTTAAAATAACATTGTAATGGCCCTTAACACTGCAGTAGCAACGCGGTCAGCTGTAGTATTTTGGACCATTGCTGTACAATACTATAGTATATATTAATAAAGGTTATGTAAATCCTAGCATTGATTGTTAGTAACTGCAACATTGCCTATTGAGCATGTGTGCAATAATATTAACATATTATGGATAAAACCATGGGCTCACTGAAATCTATTGCAAAACTTCCATTGGCTTCAATGAGGATAGGACTTCACTCTATGCATGTGCTGAAGTGACACCAACTTTTAACTCTCAGGACTAGAGAAGCCAAGTAGGAGAAGCTATGCTGATTTGATTCTTATTCAATATAATTTAAGCACCTTATTCAGGAGAAGCAGCTACTGAACATGTACAATGTACAGTGTAATTACATTACAAAACAGAAATAAACTGAGCACAGTTTGTTAAAGCTGAGCAAAATATCAAATATGACTGCTTCACTTCGTGACAATCAAATACATATATGTAACTATAGATGTAAATTTTTATATATTTATATCAATAAATACAGATGGAGAGAGAAGAGTTCTGGGTCTTTAGAACTCTCTCTATGGCTCTATTTATATCCATCCATCCATCCTCAAAAAGTCCTCTCATCTCCCATGAAAAGAGAGCAACAGAATGTAAACATGTGTTCTTACCAGTATTCCTTTTAGTTCTTTCACTGCACTATCAGAGGCTTTTGGTGCTTCCGGCTGTAATTAAACAAAACACACACATCAAATCTGATTCTGCAAATACTGACTGTGTAAGATGTGTGTATTTGTTTTGTATTGTATTTTAGGACAAACACCACATGAATCTGCAATTTGTTGGTAAGGCCTATGTAAATTTATTAACTCACCACCCCTCAATGGACAGCACTGGGATACTTAAAATGCTAGTACTTCTGAAAATATTCCAATGCTTGGAAAGATATTAACTAGGAATGAAGGAGAAAATTAAGTAACTTGAATTCTAGCAAGTGTACTTTAGTAAATTTGAATATTAATGTTTTAGCATAAAACTGTATTAAATACAAATGAATGCAACAGAACCAGGGAGTTCAAATAAAGTTCCCTTTTTTACTACTGCTGATCTTGGTTCCCTACTTTTAGTGGCATCCCCACCTCTCCCATACCACTAGAGGCAGGACAGATGTGGAAGGGGACAGGTGAGGGGACATACCTTCAGCAGCCTTCTTTCTCATCTCAGAATCCTCCTCCCAGTGGGGGTGTGGAGAAGGGAACATGGGAATTTAGAGACAGCTACTGTGAATGGCAACCAGGTAGCAATACAAGAAGGTGCAGGGGGGAGTCTTCTTGCTCTGTCCTCTGCCCCATATTGTTCATATTAAGACAGACTATTGCTTATGTCACACCAGTGCCACATCATCATAGAACCCCTCCCTCTACAGCTACTTGCAATGTCCCCACCCTTTTCCAGGCTGTCTCATGCTGCCCTGGTGACAACTTTGGGTGCCATTATAGGAGTGGCTGGTGCTCAGCACCCTGCAGGATTGGGCCCAGTGCACTCATTGGGAGATGCGGGTTCCCTGCTCTTCTCAGGATCAGGACTGCTGGGAAGCAGCAGTAAAATGTCAGCTTTCATTCAGACACAGCAGAACAAAATCAGCAGGTTAGGGTCTATTAACTGAGTAGCATCTACCCCTTGAAATATTTCTGAGTGTTAAGGTTTGGTTTTTAAAAAAATTTTTTTTTTTACACAATAAATATTTATAAGGTTCTCTAGGATACTAATTTCGGCTCTTTTCCTTTCAAGGTGCATAAATCTGACTACCTTAATTATTTTAATCCCCTCAGCAAAATGGGAGCAAAGTGGAACAGATCCAACTGCTATCCAATGCAGGGGCCCAGGCATACCTCTACATACAGGTCTGACAGAGGGCTCATTATCCTGTAACTCATATCAGTCCTGACACCACCTCTGTTGTCACTAACTCTGGCAGACCAGGTGCCAGCTCATGCCAAGGCCCCTAGGTCTCAGTGAACACTGACAACTGCATAGATGGAAACCAGTATGGCTCACCTGTGTATTAGCATTGTTAAAACAGATGTTACTTTTATAAAAATGTGTTTAGACTTTATTCAATGCTCATAGAATACTGGATGTATTGATCTCACTTATAACATCTGTATCCCATGGGTATAAAAGTTATATCAAGTGTTCGTATTATACATCTCCGTAACTGGGTAACTAACCAAACAGGAAAGGAGCATTAATTAATGTAAAATGCTGGTCCTGCACACAAGAAGCCCCACTGAAACCAAATGAGCCACTGTGAAATAAAGACTTTGCTGATTGCCCCACACACACCCATGAAGAGGAGAGAGGTGCAAATACTTGTGCCATGAGTTTGAACTCTGGGGGCAGGAAATAAAAATCCCTGGCCAGAGGGAACTGTATCACTATGCTGCTTGGAATTTGGAGATTGAAAGGGAGCCCCAAACTGCTAAGCTTGAGTTAGCACTGAAGGACATAGAAAACTTGCATATCGCAGCAGCTTCCATGATGTTCTGGAACCTAAAACTGTAACTCATTATGTTTACCTGCTTCAACCTTATAAATAACTCATTTCTTTTTCTTTGTTAATAAATATTTAGTTAGTTTATTATAGGATTGGCTACAAGCATTGTCTTTGGTGTGAGGTCTAAGATGCAATTGACCTAGGATAAGTGACTGGTCCTTTGGGACTGGGAGTAACCGGAATATTGTGATTTTTGGTGTAAGGGACCATATCTCAGAAAGGCAAGTTTGCTTGGGTGGCAAGATAGACCAGAGTACCCAAGGGGACTTTCTGTCACTGCATTGTTAGACTGTTATAGTGCTTGAAGAATTAACATCTGTTACTTGGTTGGTGAAATCTATGTATAGGACTCACTACCAATTTGGGATTTATGCCTTGCTTCTTGACAGTCTGCCCTGAGGTTGACTCCAGACAGCTTGGCAGTCATAATATGTATCCAAAAGATATGTTGTAAGGTATTATATGTAAACTGGTGATGTGCTGGTCAGGAATACATTGCATATACATAATCCATACAAATCTCAAAGAGAATCATGTATGTGTGCTGGGAATATGTTCTTAAAATGTGTTTGAGAGACAGTGCATAAATCATGCTGGCCCAAGACAAAGGACTGTGGATTTACCTGTCTCATGGGCTTGATTACAGGCAGAAGATGATGAAAGTATATTTACATATAAGTTAAACTAAGCAATCACGCTAACAAGCAGCAGAGGAAATTTATAAGCACTCTGGGGCACGGAGTCTATACTCCCAGCAAGTCTTCCTGGCTCTTGAGGCAAGCAAATATAAAGAGGAACAAAAAGACATTTTAGTTATCTATCACATAGGGGATAAATGGGACAGCACCTTCTGATTCTATGAATGTTGAATCCTCTAATCTGGAGGGCTGGAGATGCTGGTAACCTGATGTGACTAAGAAAACTGCTTAGGCAAAGATTGTAACTTGCTAAGATTCAGATTTAGCCACTAGAAAGTGTGTTTTGTTAGCAAGAGAAAGAAGAGAGATATAGTTACTAAGTATCACTTAAATCTCTGTTCTTTGTAAATAAACTTCTTTGTTTCACAATAAACCATCTGAGTGCTCTTATATTGAAGAGAAGAGTGAGTCCTCAGCTAGCCTAACAGGCTAGTGTGTGCACTGTGTCTTTGGAGGCAAACTTGACTGTGAGCATCCAGGGAGAGGGACTGGACATCTCTGGGGACCTGAGGAACTGGAGTTCACTGATAGTTACCTGCAAGGCAAGGATTAACCTGGCAGAGTATCGAGGGGTTTGTTTATGAGGCAGACAGAGTGGAGTGGCAGGGAACTGACACACAGTCGAAGCTCCAGCAAAGCTCTCCCTTGTTGAGGCAGAGAGGTAACACAGAGGCTCATGGTTCTGGGTGCCCTGAGGAAAGTGTCACAGGGTTCCTCAAACCCCATAAAGGGGCAGCAGGGCCGCAGCCAAGCAGAGAGCTTGATCTGCACTGGTGATGGGTGTGGGCTCAGACAGCTTCCTTTGAGGCTCTAACAGCTCCTGTGCCTTCAGATATCACTGTCTTGGTTACACCTAGGTAATGCTTCCATGCTTTTCTTTACAACATGAAGACTAGAAATATAATTTCTTTTAATGAAAGCTGGAATTCTGACGTCACCAGAAAACTCTCTGAGCTAAGGCTGGAGGTAAGAACTTGAAGGATCTGGGCCTTTATCTTAATGAACATTCTGAGGTCTGATCATCCTGCAAACACTTATGGCCACAAAGAACTTCTCACATTAGTAGTCCCACTGCGTTCCAAGTTACTCGTTTGCATAAGTGCAGAATTGTCAACCCAATTATTCAAAAATCACGAGTAAGGTCTTAAAAAAAATCATGAGAGATCTTTTTAAAATGTTTGGCTTAAAAATACTGAGGCATCTTGGATGCATTGTATTTGTTATCTAGTTTCTGAGCTTCTCTGTTTCACTTGGGATTATATTTTCAAGGTCACTTCCGCAACCATAAGGATTAGAAATGTACTTTCTAAAAAAACCCAAAACAAAACATCAGAGTCTCACATAATCACATGACTCTGGGAGCTGCAGCTTTACGAAAAAACACCAAGAATCACATGAACTGTGACAAAATCACAAGAGCTGGCAAGACTCTCAGCATTTCTAGGATCAAACTTTCACGGTGGTGAAAAAGCTTTACTTTTTGGCACAGGGCTAACTTTTCATTTATTTTCTTAAGATAATTGCTACTTTAATCAAGAGAAGATTTACTTAGCTTAAATATAAACACTTCAAAACCACTATCCCATTATCTTACTTTTGTGTACAGGTTATTTCAAGCTTTTATGCTTTTATGCAGACATTAAACAACACTTTGCTGCAGGCAGGTTCACCCATTACTGCTGTGTCTTGCATAAGGGGAAAGAAAAGAAATACTGATGAGATGGAAAGTACATGAGTCTGTGTTGTTTAAGGATCAAGTCTTTTGGAACGTTCCCTTTAAATAATCCAATCACATTCCTTTTCAGATTGTTATTTTTGTTCAGTTTCTTAATAGTTATGTTTGCTTAGGATTTCTAAAAGCGTGGCCTCTATTGTATTGTTAGGTTTGAGAAGGTGCTCTCTTTTACTTTCTCTCTGTATCAAGGCAAATGCACCTGAGACCTTTCTTGATACTTCACATACCAAAAGACATTATGAATTTGAGAAAGTTCAAAGAGGATCAACGAAAATCATTTAAGGGCTGGAGGAATAACATGAAGATAAAAATAGTACAATATTTATAGCTGGATTACATGACGACTAAGGCCTCTATCTTCAAAAGTGACTCATGATTTTGGGTACTCAATTCGGGAACCTAGCAACTGAGGCACACAAAAGTAACTAGTCACTTTTGAAAACTCAGGCTTGAGTGTGTACATGTGTACACCTGGGCATAGAGGGAGGCATAGCAAGCGTATAACAACATTTGAAGACTATCGGGGGGGGGGAGGGGGAGAATTCATAAACTTGAGGTCCGTTAGAATGGGGAAATAGGCTTTCTAAGGAACTGAGCCGTTGCCTGAGTCATTTAAAACTGCACTAGACAAAACTCTGGAGAATAAACTGTCAGAGCAAATCTTGCACTAGCAGGGAGATGAATGAAATGACAAAGTAGCTATTCCATCTCTAATTTCTGTGATTCAGGAATAGCTCTTTTAGATTTACTTTTTAAAAACACATCTTGTTTGGGAATCACTGCCTTATTTTTGTACCTTCTCTCTACTATTTTCTCCTCCTTCAATCTTTTAGGCTGAATGGTGTATAGTCCAACAATTAAACCCACAACTTTATGTTATTCTAGTCAAACAAGCAGCAAAGGAAAAGGAACACCCCCGCCCCCAAATTGTGCTCTGATGAATGTATTATGGTACATTTAATTTGTTTTCAACATACATTACGGTACCAGGCTTCCCCCAGTGTAAGACTAAACACACAAAGAAATCAGTGTATAATTATTCCAAACCTTTGTCTTAGGTCTGCTTGACTGATTAACTGGCCTTAGGTGAACTCCCTTTTTAATTCTATCCATCATTTCTTCAACTGCTTGTCTCTTCAGGTCTCCTACTTCTTCCCCTGTTCATAAGGCATAGATCGTGTCAGGTTAAAGATACTAGATATTAGGAAGAAACATCAAGAAAACACTCATTTTAAAGAGATACATTATAAAAAAGAGTAACATTCACAGCATGCTGCAAGTTATAAATAGTTAGTAATTTAGTCATAAAAATCAATGATCAAGCAACAATTAACGTATGATGCAGATAGCTGTATAACTGAAAAAATTCCTCATGTCAATGTGAGCAGGTGGAATATATACGCACTATATATAATCCAATCTTCAGTTTGGCTGTATTATTAATGGAAATGAAAATTACATTTAAACATAAGCCTTGTTTTTAACTCAAATCTTGGCTGTTCATGGGGTTTTCCCACAGGACCTCCTCTGTCACAGCCCCTAGCTTCCCCTGCCCCAGAGAGGCACCCCTTACATCACTTAAGGTATGTCCAGATGGAGATAACATGATCCACATGCTAGCAGAACTCAGAAGAATTTACTTTGTATCTTTTTGTAGAGTTGTAGCACCTGGATTTAGGGTGATTCAGGAACCCCACAATCATATGCAGGATCCTACAGACAGTTCCTCAATTGGTGTAAATGGTTACAGCCCCATTGTCTTCAACTGAACTATGACAATTTACACAAAGTTGATGATCTGGCCCTCAACCTTTCCATCCTGTTATAGTCAGATCATTATTATTTATTATTTGCATTATCATAGCACCTAGGAGCCCCAGTCATGGACTAGGACCCATTGTGATAGGTGCTGTACAAACAGAAGAAAAAGATAGTGCAGTATATAAATGCAGACCTGGAACCAGGGGCCTGATCCTGAGCAGTTGAAGTTGCATGTCTTCAGACCCCAAGAAATTGGCAACCCTGGTTAAATCAGGAGGTCAGATTCTGATCTCACTTAAACCACTGTAAATGGAAACAATCCCATTGGCTTCATTAGAGTTGGTCAAGATGGTCAAGTCAATGATGCCTACAGATGAGGCAGTATCAAGGCCCTGATTCAGCAAGGTACTTAAGCACATGTTTAACTTAAGCAATGGGGCTACTAAATGTGCTAAAAGTTATGGGCATGCTTAAGAATCTTGTGAATCCGTGCCCAAAAGTCTAAAAGAAAAAAAAATAGAACAATGTGGCATTGATACAAAACTGAAAAACCTAAATACCACCAAGCGATCTGGATTCCAAGAGACCCAACAGCAGACCTGTGAAATGTTCAAGTAAAACTGAAAATCCTATCTGATGAATTTGAGCTTTTCATACTAGCATATTGATGCACTAGAAGACATGACTAAAACCATGTAGTTGCACCATACAAAAAAGGCCAACCTAATTGAGAGAGACAGATGGAGAAATATGGTCAACACTATTAAAATCTGCTGTAGTGCCTAATATACAGGCATTTAAAGTAGACCCTCTCTCCTGGTAACACTGAAGATCCACAGAAGTGCAGTTCCTATACTGTATATCAATTTAATGCCATGCTTTAATTTCCCAAACAGTCTGTTTCAAATGTAAAAGCTTAACTGGCTGTGAGAAATAGGAACCACTCATTGTAAGTCCTTAACAAGGGTCAAAATAAGCCTGAAGTTAGATACAGTAACCAGAGCAAGAGAGACCTTTTCTATTCTTTTTTATGACCACTCAACCATTAAGGGAAGAAGCAATTTATGTGTGATTGAAGAAAGATCAGAACTGTTAAAAAGTTTACTAATAAATAATGGAAGAATGGGGTGTACTATTCACAGTATTTCCTGCAATCACAGCTAGTAACAGTCAACGAAAAGGTATAATCAAAACATCTAAAACGCTTTAAGTTAAAAAAACATGATAAAAGACGACAACATAGGTCGAGCATTATTGAACAGTTACTGGAAAATAAGATTAGCTCTTTATAAGATATACAGCTAAAAGGTCATTTCTCTGCTAGTAACTGGACCAAGATCACCAATCTCATTTTTCATGGGCTGGTAAACAGCTAACATCCACAGACTTCCTGTATGACCTTGGCCAAATCACTTAAAGGCTCTGCGCCTCAGTTACCGCATCTGTAAAAAGGGAACCATACAACTTCCTTACTCTCACTCTGCCTTGTCTATTTAGGCCACACTCCTGCAGACCATTACACACAATGGGAAAACAGTAACAATCCCGCAAATAATTACCTATGCACTTTCTTTATGTGCACAAGGATTAATGGGACTACTCACCTGCATAAAGTTAAGCTTGGGTGTAACTGTTTACAGGACTGGGGTCTTACAATGTATGTTCTTCAGGGCAGACACAATCTCTTACTATGCGTATGCACAGCACTTTGCACATTTGGTCCTCCACGTGCCGCTATCCTATTACTACGAATGGATGGTAACCATCATTAGTCTTTACAAACCTGTTTTGCATTAAAACTGGTGCCAGAGGCGAATGCTTCCAAAATGGATAGGTTGTTGAAAACTATAATTTTTAATTATTCTTTTTAATTTCACACAAATATTGTTTGAATTTTCTAACAAGTGACCCACATTGCTTGAAATAGGATGAGCCATACCTGATTCTTGCTGAGGAGCTCTTTCTTTTTTGCTCACGCTGCTGCTAGGATGAGACTTCTTACGAATCATGGACATAAGGGACCTTTTCAGGACAATTAAAATGAAGATAGTCACACTGCTTTCTCTTATGAGCAACATCTATACTTTTAACATTGACCCTGAACATAAGTCATATATTGTAAAACGAGCCAGAATTGAATGTTTACTTCACTGATTTATAGTTCTCCTATTTACAAAAGAGGTGTTAATCATTTCCATGCAGAGGCGAAGCACCCCTAAAAATACAAAGATATTATTTACTTTTCTTTTATTGTTGCCAGGCAACATGCAGAACACTTAAGATCGGAGTATTAAAAGGTAACATGGCATTGTGACACGTAACAAATTAAAGCCCTCCCGCGCAGCAAAAAAACCGAATTGCACATATTAATGGCAAGCATTATTCTCTAGAGGACATTGCTAGAGGGTGATCATATCACTCCCTCATTTTTCAATGAATATTTGTTAGCCTACATTTACCAGATCAAAAGAAAAAGCAGAGCCTATGCGTTCTATTCAAAAATAAATAAATAAAAAACCCCACCATGATATGCACTGTGAAATAGATATCTTAAGGCTAAGTATGCCACCAGCATTTAGAGGTTATTTTTAAAATAAACTTATGACCAACAGAGGTGTTTAATTCCATTGATTAGAAAAAACATAAAACATTCTTCTGTAGTGTTTGCAAAACAAGCACTTCACAATTATGCTAACCAAACCTAAAAGTGAAAAACTAGAAACTGACCAGAAACAGAATGTGAAACTGACCAGTCTATTTTCATTGTCCAGATTGAAAGAGAAATGCAAAAAGGAAACAGCCACCCTATACAATTCAGAGAAAATTATCTCTTTAATACTCTTTCAGTTTTAGTTTAAGTTATTAACAACACAGAAAGACTTTTGCTTTTAAAATTGTATCTTTGAACTTGGCAATGTACCCTTTTACCAAAAACACTGTAGAGATGTTTACACTGCTACATAATCTTCTATGGCTAAATTTTATTGGTATATTCCTCATATACTATGAGAAAACATCCCAAGAATGCTTCAGAAAAACATTTTTTTCCAGTCCAGGAGACAGCCAGACAAAAAAAAATACAGTTTCATTAAATAATACTGATTCCTTATTAAGGTAAAATAATTTACATCTGGTTCATGTCAAGTTTTGAAATACCCATTTATATTTTAATAATCGTAAGTTGATGATGAATACTCTACTTACACTTACATTGTTGTTGCTGTCTTTCTTTGAACTACCTGTCATGGCAGCTGTAGCATGCGCGCATGTATAAAATTAAAAATAAACTTCAGAAAAGAACCCACTTACTGCCCCTATGTGTCATTACGGATTTTGTTTTTTTCTGTCAATCTGGGCTGTTACATAATATGCAAGTTCTTTTGGTTCTACAGACAGTAGATGATACACTTAAGATGAAATAGACTGTCTGCAATCATTCCTGTTTAATTGTTCATAGCCTTCACAAAAAGAATCTACGTCACAATTTAGCTACTTCCAACGTTAAGACACTCTTCAGTGTTTCTCTCATCACCAATTCCAAGGTCTAGGCTTGAAATTTTCCATACCAGATCATTTTCCATATCAGATCATTACACCTTATTGAAAAGAAAAGAACCAAACTAAAGATCCAGAACCCTGTCCTAAAATAATGATGTATTTAACTCCCAACTTTTAAAGCAATCCATAAAATATGTCCTGCAAAGGTAGCTGTGTATGACAGTTACTTTGCACTTTTGAAATTCCTTCATCTGAGTTTCAGAACACATGTAAAAGTTACTCTGCTTTAGCTACTTCAGGCATTTAAATAGTTTGTGTCATCCACCCTGATTAGCTATGGAATTTGTCTTTCAAGAGGTGCAATTCTGTTCCTGGCATGGGAGGAATTTACTTACTAAACATTCTATTCAAATGTGTATATAACTGTAATGGAAGTGAATAAAGTAGTTGGGATTGTGTAAAAGAATTAAACAAGTGACATGAGCTAATGAAAGGTAAAAGCAGCTAGAGTCGAAATACGGCTGTTCAAAAGTATATTTTACAGAATCAGCTAAACAGTGACAGAACAGGTTGAATTTTCATTGCTAAGCATTGGAATTTTTGTACATTATTCCAATAACTTAACAAGATTTGCAGATGTGCAGTATGACAGAAAATTTCATTCTTAATCTATTAACAGGAAAAAGCAAAGGCCAAGATTTTCAAAAATGCATCTGAAGTATGACTTCACTGGCAGACGGCAAGTGCTCTGCAGTTTTGAAAAATCAAGCCACTTACTTGGGTGTCTAATTGTAGGCATCTAGGCTGAGATTTTCACAGGAGTCTAAGTGAGTTGAGCAATCCAGCAAAGCACTGGAGCACATACTTAACTTTAAGCATGTGAATAGTCTTAATGTAGGCCTCTTCAAGCACTTAAAAGATCACGCAGTTCAGTGCTTTGCTGGATTTGGTGCCTCACCTGTCAGTAAGTTTCAGTGGGATTTGGGTTCCACTATGAAAAACTTGTCTAATCTGTTGGATGCTGAGAAGCCTGATTATCCTACCTAAAACCTGGGATCCCACAAATTTAGCTATTTCCATCATCCACACTGGATGGAGAGGCAGACAGACCAAACCCAGCCCTTTTGCTTGCAGAGGATACCCTAACAGCAGTGATTCAGATACGCACTTCTCTAGGTCACAAAGGAGTCTAACTACAGCGATCAGATAAACAGGAAGAACAACCTTTCAAATTCAGATCGAAGAGGTAGAATCATAGAATCACAGAATATCAGGGTTGGAAGGGACCTCAGGAGGTCATCTAGTCCAACCCCCTGCTCAAAGCAGGACCAATCCCCAACTAAATCATCCCAGCCAGGGCTTTGTCAAGGCAGACCTTAAAAACTTCTAAGGAAGGAGATTCCACCACCTCCCTAGGTAACGCATTCCAGTGTTTCACCACCCTCCTAGTGAAAAAGTTTTTCCTAATATCCAACCTAAACCTCCCCCACGGCAAATTGAGACCATTACTCCTTGTTCTGTCATCTGCTACCACTGAGAACAGTTTAGATCCATCCTCTTCGGAACCCCCTTTCAGGTAGTTGAGAGCAGCTATCAAATCCCCCCTCATTCTTCTCTTCCGCAGACTAAACATCCCCAGTTCCCTCAGCCTCTCCTCATAAGTCATATGTTCCAGTCCCCTAATCATTTTTGTTGCCCTCTGCTGGACTCTTTCCAATTTTTCCACATCCTTCTTGTAGTGTGGGACCCAAAACTGGACACAGTACTCCAGATGAGGCCTCACCAATGTCGAATAGAGAGGAACGATCACCTCCCTCGATCTGCTGGCAATGCCCCTACTTATACATCCCAAAATGCCATTGGCCTTCTTGGCAACAAGGGCACACTGTTGACTCATATCCAGCTTCTCGTCCATTGTAACCCCTAGGTCCTTTTCTGCAGAACTGCTGCCTAGCCATTTGGTCCCTAGTCTGTAGTGGTACATGGGAGTCTTCCGTCCTAAGTGCAGGACTCTGCACTTGTCCTTGTTGAACCTCATCAGATTTCTTTTGGCTCAATCCTCTAATTTGTCTAGGGCCCTCTGTATCCTATCCCTACCCTCCAGCGTACCCCTCCTTCCCTCAGAATCACTGTCTAAACAGGCCACTGAACTTGAGTACTTCTTGGAGGATGAACACTTACCGAATTGGATTGGGAGGGGGAGGAGGAAGCGGAGGTGGCGGTGGGGGCGGAGGCGGCGGTGCTGGATTTTCTGACCTGTGTATTCGTTTCTGGAGTTCATCAACTGCATGAGAGCAACAGAAAAGCAGAATGAGTTCTCAGCAAAAGCAGTTCCCCATCTGCTAGTGGGTGATTTGAAACCAGAGTCCTAAACAGAAGTTTTGCCTGTAAAGAAAGCCACTGATGCATTCAAAAGCAAAATGGCAGCACTTCTCAATGGCTGACTTGCTATCACACTTGGTTAGTGGTAGTTTTTACACTCATCTTCACCAAGAACACTGATCTAGCTGCATACAATTTCTACAATCAAGGCAACTTCTGAGAATTGAATGCCCAGCTGCATATTATTAAACTCTTCATACACAGTGATTGGAGCCTTAAGGAGAAACCAGAGTGACTGCTACATTTCCTAGTTGTGAAAGGGACATCACATCAACTGGAAATCTGGTCAATTTAAAAAAAACAACACATTTCAGTTTCTACTCTTTACTCTGCGTAGCTTTGATAATTTTTTGCAGCTTTACAGTCATATTCTTTAAAAGAAGTTTTTCCTCTTCTGTTGCTGTGTGAGAGATCTACACAATCAATGGGGGAAGCTACCCCAGTACAAAGGGGAGACAGTGAAAGAGACTATATATAAGTGCTGTCAAGTGAACTTAGTGTGGGGGGAGAAAAAAAAGAGGAAAAATATATTTTTCTCTAATGTCATTTAGTTACAATAAATCTTAGCAGCTGCTTTTAAGTATAGAGGGAATTTCAGACAGATGGATTGGGTGGGACTCCCAAAGTGGATCCTCAATTCCTATTAATTATAAATTAATTACATTTTAAATTTAAATCCCTTATGTGGCTTTACAAACCCATCTGAGATTCTTATGCTGATGGTGCCCTTTTTAATAATAAAATATGTAAAAGGGAAAAGGAGTACTGTGAATGCACATTCAAATCCACTTTGTGCTTTATGTAAATGAGTGATGTGAGGTTTAAAGAATCTCTGTATAGCCATTCATAAAGAACCCACTATCACACAGAACAGCACCCGCATATCTTTACTGAAAATCCTGTGCAATATTCACCACACCAAAGAATTTTCTCCAACACTAAAGACTATTCAAATGACTTCAACAGGACTACTCACGTATTTCCAGGTAAGCCTGGGCTTGAGCTTCTGATTCAGGAAAGCAGTTAGGCGTGAACAGGGATGGACTTCAGCATGTTTTTAAGGGCTTTTCTGAATCAGAGCCTGAGTTATGGGTTCCCCATAGAATCACAGCAATATAGGACTGGAAGGGACCTCAAGAAGTCATCAAATCCAGACACCTGCTCCATTGCAGGACCAAGTAAATCTAGGCCATGCCTGACAGGTGTTTGTCCAACCTGCTCCTAAAAATCTTCAACGATGGGGATTCCACAACCTCCTTTTGAAGCCTATTCCAGAGCTCAACTACCTTTATATATACCCTTTTCCTAATATCTAACCAAAATTTCCCTTGCTGATGATTAAGTCCATTATTTCTTGTTCTATCTCCAGTGGATATGGAGAACAATTGATCACTGTTCTCTTTATAATAGCCCTTAACATATTTGCAGACTGTTATCAGGCCCCCTCCCACCCAGTCTTCTTTTCTTAAGACTAAAGATGCCCAGTTTTCTTAACCTTTCCTCATAGATCACGTTTTATAAACTTTTTATCATTTTTGTTGCTCTCCTCAGGACTCTCTCCAATTTGTCCACCTCTTTCCTAAAGTGTGGCATGCAGACCTGGACATGGTACTCCAACTGAGACTCACCTGGGCTGAGTAGAGCAGGACAAATATCTCCCATGTCTTACATACAACATTCCTGTTAATACACCCCAGAACAACAATACCGTTTTTCACAGCTGCATCATATTGTTGACTAATATCCAATTTGTGATCCACAGTAACACCCAGATCCTTGTCAGCAATACCACCACCTGGCCAGTTATTCCCCATTTTGTATTTGAGCATCTGATTTTTCCTTCCTAAGTGAAGTTCTTTGCAGTTGTATTTATTGAATTTTATCTTGTTGACTTCAGACCAACTCTCCAATTTATAAAGGTATTTTTTAATTAATTCTTATCTTGTCCTTTAACATGCTTGCTACCCCTTCTAGCTTGGTGTCATCTGAAGATTTTATAAGCGCTCTATCCACCTCATTATTCAAGTCATTAATGAAAATATTGAATAGTACCAGATCCAGGACTGACCCGTGAGAAACTCCACTAGATACAACCTCCCAGTTTGGTAATGAACCATTGATAACTACAGTAGGGTCTTTCAAAAAGTTGTGCACTCATCTTATAATAATTTTATCTAGACTACACCTTCCTAGTTTGCTAATGAAAATGCCATGACGGACTTCGTTAGAAGCTTTACTATGATCAAGATATATCACATCTACTGCTTCCCCCCTACTCACTAGGCCAGTAACCCTGTCAAAGAAGGAAATTAGGTTGGTTTGGCATCATTTGTTATTGCCAAATCCATGCTGGCTATTCCTTATAGTCCTATTATCCTCCAGATGCTTACAAAATGATGGCTTAATAATTTGTTCCAGTGTCTTTCCAGGTATCAAAGTTCAGCTGACTAGTCATGAATTCCCCAGATCCTCTTTGCTCCCCTTTTTAAAATTAGGTACTATGTTTCCCCTTCTCCTGTCTTGACAGACCTCACTTGTCCTTCATGAGTTCTCAAAGATAATTGCTATCAGTTCCAAGATTGCTTCAGCTAGTTCCTTAAGTACTCTGATGAATTTCATCAGGCCCTGCCAACTTGAGTACTTCTAACTTATCTAAATATCCTTTAACCTGACCTTCCCTATTTTGGCCTGCATTCCTTCCCCCTTGCTGTTAATTTTAATTAATTATACGTTGAGTATCTGATCTGACTTATAGTGAAAATGCCTACCCACAGTATCCAGAATGACCTTATTAGTGTCAGTATAATGACAACAGCCTGGGTTACATTTTCGAAGCATTGCATAGGATAGGCACACACAATCCCCCATTCAAAATAATGGTATTTCCACATGTATCTCACATGTTTTGGACATCTGGCTGCCTTCTAGCCACATTGCACATGAAACAAACTGACCGAATCAGAATCTGGTGGAAGCTGGGATCAATTTTCAATTTCCCCACTCTCAGAGACACACTATAACGATGGGAAACTTACACAAGTGTTCAATTCTCAGCATCTTAGAACTTTAATTTAATTCTTTAGGGAAGAGCAAAAACAATGAAGTTAAAAATGTATGGAAAAACTGAACTATCTAAATGTGTGTAGCTTGGCTAACCAATGACTCAGCGGGGAGATAATGGAATATAATGATATGACAGATGTAAAACCAAAGGATGGAAAGGAATTCTTTAGTTTTCAGGTTTTTAAACTTAATCACATACCAAATTTAGAATGGCTATCAGAAAATACTATGGCAACCATGTTATCTGGGACTTTTAAAAATAGACTGAACAAGCGAGCCCTAAGAAAATATATTCTAGGGAATTTTATCTGCTTATATGTGCTTATCATGGTAAGCAAGCACCTAACAATCCTGCATTGATTGTGTGAGATGGACTGCATGATCTAATACGTCTTTCCACCTAAATTCTATGAATCTGATTAATTTGACACACACAAAATTGTAAAATATTTTTTCCAGAAGCTCACACCACCACATCGGTATGCTTTTTCTCTCTGACATTTTCCATCTACACATTCCAGCTGTGTTTGGATAGTTAAACAGTAGTTCACCAGCTGCTAACTATATTTTGAATTTATTATGAAATGGCAATTTTAAATAAAGAGTTAAATTACAGTTTTTAGCATTTAATAGGCATGATGCTGTAAGCTGGTCAGGCACCATTCTAGCATATAAGGCTTTGATAACTAAATTACAGTACTTGCTCCACACTGTATGTACTGTAAGTGATTTTTGTCAGTGTTCTTGAGGCTTTGGTTTAGCCTATAAACGGGACAAATAGCAGTCAGAAAGCCAGACAATTTTTTCAGTCAGATAGTAAGGGGATAAATGTTTAGCATGATGCACAGGGAATTAGACACACAATTCCCAAGGATTTCAGCCATTGAAACCCACATGAGTCATGTAGTTAATTCCCTCTGCCAAGTTCTGAATAAAGGATTTACCCTTTAAATGTCAGTATCAGAACAGCCGGTAATATGAGGAAAAAACCTCACTTCAGCAGGAGTTGTTTTCTCACAATTCAGTCTGAAGGGCTAAATCATTCCCATAAATTCACCGATAACTGCTAGATCAAGACTACTAAATGCTTGTGTGGTTTCCTAAGTTGCTTGATAACTTCCACATATGGAAACATGAGAGCTTTCCCCTTCATCATCTGTACAATAGGGGTGCTACATGATAAGCCATGGTGCATTATGTGTGTATCTCTGTGAAAGAGTTAACAGGATTGTCATGTTCTATTTATTTATGTCTTTTGAGTCAATGAAAGATAAGTTTCAGCTGAACTTAAAAGGATTATCCTTTCACATGTAAACAGTGCATTGAATCGTCACGTACCGTAGACTCAGAGTTACCTCAAGATTTCATTTTATATACCTGTGGAAGGTGAACAACCACTGACCATGCTGCTTAGTGGTCAGACAGGAGGGTGACAGGCCATCTCCCTCTTGAAAACACAGTCCCGTCCTTCAGTGCTTCCCCCATCTCTCCCAGAATTTCCAGTCCTTCCCTTTTAACATAGGGACTTGGGGTCTAGGCCCTTGAACAGTCAAGGTCTTTTCCAGCTGGGTTCTCAACCGAGGTGAATGCTCTTATAATTGTAATATCCTCTTGAAGGGGAACCCTGGTCCACCTCCTCTACTGCTCCGGTCCAGGGCCCTATGGTGGGCAGCTACACTCTACCTTGCAGTGCTATACAACTGCCCCCCAGGCCATCTCCTACCCAAGCCTCCTTTAGCTTCCTAGAGTAAACCAAAGAATTTTCTTCAATAAAGTCTCTGACCTGCACTCTCAGTCACCTGACTCTCCTTTATAGGTTTGCACAGGTCTGCACTGTCAGATCTGAGACAATGAGTTCCTGGGCAACACTTCTCCCTCAGAGCAGATGTCTGCTCCCTTCCACGACTCGCCTGCCTCTGAGCTGCTCTGCTTCCCTTTTTAAAGCCCCTGCCTCCAGTCTGTGCAGGCCCTGCAAGTGTTGCTGGACAGGGCTACCTGAGACCAGAGCTGTTCCTTAACCCCGTGTTCTCCAGTGAGGTTTGTATGCCCCATCACAATGCCACAAAAATTTTACAAATTTTTCTACTGAATAGATTCTAGACATGTTGAGTTGAGTCTGAACTTCATACTGTGAAATAACAATTATGCACAGATGTTCATGGTTTCATCTCAAAAGTATCTTGTATAATTCTATTAGGTCTGCACCAGTAACACTTGAGAAAATTTCACTTCTAAACTTAATTTAATTAAGTGATTTTACCTGAATGCTTCAGGTTTTTAACTTTTTCTTCAGAGTTCTGCCACTTTAGTTCTAACTCCTTTTTATCTTCTTCCAGAAGTCCCAGCTGCTGCTGTAGACAACTGATCTCCTTATGTAGTGCTTCATTTTCTAACTTCTCTTCTAATTCTTTAACCTGCAGATGGCAAACACTGGACATTGTTACAATAAAAAATAAATGCTCATTCTGTCTTTTGCCTTGTTGAATAGCTGGGCCATCTACCAGACACTGTAGGCCTTGAGAATATGAGATTAGCAGGAACACTGTAAACTGCAGTAATATACATGAGAAGACTTTTTAAGCAAACATTTTTGAAAGCGAGTGACAAAGATCTCACTATTAATTTTCTAATCTAACCCCAATTTTGTTTTTACAAACATCTCCAGACCTCAAATGTCTAACTAAGACATTTTTTTCTTTAGAGATTTAATTGTCTTATTTGAACAGAGTTTCTTCATTTGAAGCAAATATTAATGAGCTTTTTTTTTTTTTTTAGTTAACTGGTTCTGTTTAAAGGTTCTAATTTAAACTCACTCCTTCCACAGTTCATGCAGTTGTCAATGGATGAACTACAGAATGACATCAGATTGAGTGGCAGCATTCAAGTATGTTGAAGCAACCACTTCCATTACTATTAAATATATACAATTTGGTCTAGTTTACAAAAATCAGAGCTTTTCTAAAAGCCAGCTATTACACCTCAAGTATTTTTTTTAAATAAATATATTAAGTGAATGTACCTTTACTGTACACGTGAAGAAGGTGCAGCTACTGAGCATTACCTTATGGCAGTGGTCCCCAAACTGTGGTGTGGGGGTCATGGAAGAACGTTCAGGGGAGCGCGGCAGGGCCCAGGCCAGACCCCATGTACCACTCAGCCCTTCTCTGCCCCCACGCTCAGTTCCCACCGCAGCCCCTGGCCCCGGCCCCCGCAGCCCCTGGCTCCCAACTGCAGGCCCCGGCTCCCAGCACCGACCGCGGGTTTGCTTGCAGCCCCACTCCCAGCCAAGGCCCCAGCTGCAGCACCAGCCCCACTCCTGACTGTGGCCCCAACTCCAATGTGGCGTCCGGGGGGGCATGGACAAAAAAGTTTGGGGACCACTGCCCTATGGCATACACACACTAAAAACTAAAGTGATTTATGGGTGCAGATCCTCAGCTAGTGGAAATGGTCATAGATCCACAGATACCATACTACATAGTCTCTTACTTCAGAGATGCCATCTTTCTCATGCCTTTCATAACTATGGGGTTTTCCACAGCACCATATACACAGCATTTTGTATAATTTTTATCTTTTTCTATAGTTCCCCGATACTGTGGAATTTATACTTCCTTCTACTGCTCTCATTTTCCTGTATCTCTGGAACCAGGAACCACCTTCTCATTGCAGGATGCCTGGATCCTGCCTTCTCTTCATTTAAATCCTTCCTGAAAAATCCCTGCTTTCCCCAAGGCACATAAATATTAACGCATGTCAATGTGACATCATCATCACCCCTATTAATTTAAAAAGCAACGCTCAAACTTATCATCCATTGAGCCTCCTAGTGCTTTGGTAATCCATACTAGCACATGCCTTTATCAGGTTTAGTGGCTGGTTCACAGAAGAGTTAAGCGCCTACTACCAACTACCAGCTAGCGGGGTAATTCCTTTACCTCCAGTGTTAAAGGAGCATACTTTCAAGACTTTATTCAGGAAAGAACATGCTTAACTCCATCCCTATTCAGGACATAATTTTAAAGTACATGCTTAGCTTTAAGCATGTGCTTACCTGCAGTCTTGAAGAGATATCCTTTCCTGAATCAGGGTGTAAGTGCTGAAGATTTTGTGTTCAGACGCTATCAATGACCCAAAGAGACAGGGGATAGGGCAGGGACCAGATCTTTGCATTTAACTGTGCTGAGCACATTTAATAAATGGCAATTAATATGAGCTTTGAGAAGCTATCTAAAATCCTACAGTAGGTGAAAAATCTTACACTACCTTTTGCTGGTGTTGATGTCTCTCTTCTTCCAGTGTTTGGGTCAACTTGGCATTTTCATCTAAAGCTTTCAATAGCTGCTGATCAGGAGCAGAATTTTGCAGAAGCAGATGACTTTGTCTTTTCAACTTGTTTTGTTCAATATACATCTGCCAAAAACAACACCCCCGCCAAAAAAAACTGAATGGTTAAGTAAAGTCTCCCATTTTAACAGGAACCAGATAAACAATAATAATAAACATAGCGAATCATCTAGCACTGGTTAAGAAACTTGGGGCGGGGGGTAGTTTACAATAGCGAAGTGCATAAAGTGCCTCCTTGTTAAGAGAACTATGTCATTTATTATTAAAATTGTGCGTGTTTGCAACATACTGAAATTGAAGTTCACAGATTTAAATTAGTATTCTCTTAAGAGATTAAAGCTCACTTGGTATACAAGCACTTAGACAGTCAGTTCTTCACTAGATGAGAAATTCAGTCACTGGGATAGGAGCCAAAAGAGCATGGGGTCTGTAACAGTGACCATAGAGAGGCTCATGCCCAATCTAAGTGTCAGGTGGTAGATTTTATTCCTGAAACACTTGCCTAGCTCCCAACACAAGGTGAGTGGGTGGGGTGTGTGCATGCACGCCTACTACACAAAGAAGGTGGTGCGTTATGGTGTGATTTTAGGCTAGTAAAAATGGGGCTGAGAGAAAGTCTCAACAACTTGCCTTTAAAGCCATTGTTTCCCTTTTAATTTTGAACTTGTCACTTTTCACTTTCCCAAATGTTGATACTCTCAGCCCCATTTCTAGTTCAGGATGTGGGGGTAAATCATCAGGTCGGTGTCACTACTCCAAGCCTTTTAAATAGGCCACTGGGCCCTTGCAAGGGATTGCACAGGCCTTTGCACAGATCAAATATAGAGGGTACTTCCCTTTGTCTGCTGGAGAGCTCCAGGGAGAATTCTGCTTTCTTGCAATAAAATTCCCCAAGGAGCTACCCCTGCAGCTCTATGCTGCCAATAACATGGGCTGTGCCTGAAGTCAGTGGGGGGGTTGGGTGAGCAAGGAATCCAGGACGGGCCCCAAGAGAACCCCATCTTTGTAGCAGAAATGACACGTGTAACTAGGAGAGGAGATTTCTGATGACAATGCTGGGTGTACCAGCACAGCCAGTGTTTATTCTGTGGGAGACACTTTCGATCATTTATGAAAAAAACACCGAGTACAGTGATTGTCCCCGAATTGTTGAAAAACTGATCCACTGTTCAGCAGAATGATTTATGACCAAATTATTATAAATGCAAAGCTCTATGAAATCTTGACAGTTTCCCTCACTGCTTATTTCCTGGCCAAAGTTACCACCACAACAGTCTGACAAACTATTTCTTCCAGTCCACTATTATTGGACTTACTGGTATATTATTAATAAAACGAAATGCAATCAGATGTCTCTGTATTTATTTATTTGGCTAAGTTTTGTAGCAAGTTTCTATCCAGCATTCTGTTGGGCTACATAATGTATTATTATGGAGGTTGATAATAAAAAGGGAAGCTACTGACCTCACTGAACTTAAAGGCCTTGTCTACACTCCCACTTACTTCGGTGTAACTTATGTCGCTCAGCGGTGTGAATAAGCCACTCCCTTGAGCGACGTAAGTTACACCAACCTAAGCACCAGTGTGGACAGTGCTATGTCGGCAGGAGAATTACCACTGTAGCGCTTCTAGTGTAGACCAGCCCTAACTTTTGATACAGTCTAGATGACTCACAAATGCAATCTGATTGCAAAAACAGAGAGAGAATCAATGTGACCTTAATATTAAAAAAGCCAACAAAGAACACCTCTTTGGGTAGAGCTATGCAGTGGGAAAGGCACTAAAGAACGGAAAGCACTCAGTGAAGAGAAAACTATGACTACAGGCTCCAGTCCTGCACTTATATAAAAACAGGGACTGTTGTGGGGGTGTGGGACCACAACACAGCAGAAGTTAGCTTCCTGTGACAACTGCAGTGACGCTTCTCTGAAGCAAAGTAATGGTTTATCTTCCTCATGGTCACTTTGAGTAGTGGGCCAGGATTAGGTTTAAGTCAGCCTTGCCCCACCCTTGGTCACCTTCACTTTCAATACAAATCCTGGTCCCCTTCACCTTCCTTTAGAAAAGAAGAAAGAAGAGAGCACAGTGCAGCAAATGGATCAGAGATTTCCTCCTGAAGAACTCGCTACATGGAACTAATTGTTCTGGGAAGTACTTATATACTACAGTGATGGGTGCTATACAAAACACTAAGATGGGCAGATGGCTGTATTTCTGACTAGGGTATGCACAGCATTCCCTTCTGCACACTGAAACATGATCGGGGGCCATACTGTCCTACAAATATATGTTAAAAGACCCATTACACAATACTAAAACTGTGCCATAAACTGACCAAAAACAAAGAAGAAATTCAGATTTAAAGCTGACTGCCCATCTGAAATTTTGAATGTCTGGCAGGATTTGTTGGTAGCCCATTATATTACATATACTTGGGTTTTCTAGATCAGGAGATTAAATACATAAAACATCTTTGAAGAGTAATAATTTAACAGCTTACAGGTATTTCTAGAGCATTCCTCACCAGAGTATAAAATCTATTGTCTGCCTGGGAGAGCAAGACAATTGAGTCAAGTAAAGACAATACAGCATTTAATGTTTACAGATTCTCATTACTTGACAGTGGAAGGGATCTTTGACCCTGATATGGCAATGAGCTCCATCCTGGCACCTATGTAGCACCCCACTGACTTCAATGAGGGTCTGCATGGACCCAGTGATCTGACCACACAGATCCCAACTGACTCCATTGAGGTAGCATTCTGAGTCACATATGGAAAATAAAAGACATATTAGAAAAATTGCTTCTATTTTACACCCTCATTTTTACACCCAGGATCTGTTGGTAGCCTGAATGCTTTCTTTTGTGCCTATAATTGATGCTGTCTGCAGTTTACTGCAGCCACTAAATTAGAATGAGAGAGAAAACTTCTTTAAATATCTCAAAAAAAGGCACACTGAAAATCCAGCACGCAGTTATTGTGCATGAGCAGAAGCCATTTTAAAAAGGTTTAATTTCTGTGCCATGTTATTTTGGTTTGCACAATATAAGAACTATTAGGCTATCTGGTGGGATAATATTTAGCAAGGTTTCATTTTTCAGTTGTACTAGAATGAAGCAACATTGCAAATATGTACATTTAAAAATTGCTTCTGGATTGAAATATTTTATGGCCACTTTCAGCCTGTATCACCATTTTATAATTCATCCATAAACCTATGGAAACAAATGGAGAGGATGTCACAGTCTTAAATTGGGATAACACATTTCCAGTAAGAATGACAGGCTTGGTTTATTGGAAGGAGAGAGCATTCTTTACTCAGAACCTACACTAACTCAATGCTTCACCAACAGGAGCTTACCATAGTATAAGTGGAGTCTTGGAATCAAACTGATCCCTGAATTTGCACTGCCCTGCACCCTCAATTGTGGTTTAGGATCTGATCCAGCTCTACTGTAGTCTATGGGAATCTTTCCATTGACTTCAAAAGGTGCCGGATTGGGTCCTCAAATGGGGTGTGTAATGCTACAAAACCACAATGGTCGCATTTTACACTCACTTTGCACTGGTGTCTGTGATTTACAGGAGAGGCAAGGTAAAGAAGAATCAGGACTGGGAACTTCAAAGTTACACCACAGATCAATTTGGCATATGGAGTCTTGAAACCAATAATGCCACTGATAAACAACAAAGTCACTCAGTCACACAGAATAGTTGCCCCCAGTGAAATTTAAGTCCTCTCTGAAAAGAAGGACAGAACACGAGAAAACATCATAACAGTTTCTCTATAATTCTGATGTGGAAAAATGTTTAGTAGCCCAAATTAAGGTGCATGCAATATGTTATTAATAGAGCTGGTCACAGGGTTTTCAGTCAACACACTTTCCTGCTGAAAAACGGGATTTTGTCAAAAAACTCAAGTGTATTCATGTGAAAAAAACTGAAATTTTTTTCAAAATTTTCTTGACAAGTTTCAAAGCTAAATGAAAATTTTTACTTTAGAATTGAAAAATTTGTTTTCAAAATTCCAGATTTCGATCCTTTCACTCCCTTTTTTGCCAACAAATCTAAAGGAATGAATGATGGCTGTAATTTGGGGAGAGGTTCCGGTTCCCTTTGTGCACTCTAACTTTTCCAAACTACCTCAGCTTTTGAAAGCCTACTGAGTGGCAAAAGGAAACATTAAACACTGCAACTTAGCCCATCAGTAGATTTTGAAAAAAAACGGAGAAAATTGTAATAATTTTATTTCAAGGTTTTCCTGTGAAAATCAAACACTTTCTATCAAAAAACTGAGTGAAAACTTTTTGTTCAAAAATTTCACAGAAAACTGCCTGGGTTTTTCGACTACCTCTACTTTATTACTTTCTTAAGCATCACAGATAATGTACATGGTGCTTACAATATGGAGAAATGGAGATTTCTAAGCCAGAAAATACTTCGTATGTATGAGCTTGATTCTGTAATCGTGCATGGGAATAATTTATTCACATGAATAGTCCCACTGACTTAAAATATTATACCTATGCTTAAGTATTTGCAAGATCAGGCGCTAAATTAAGGGAACAAAACAGGATAGGACAGAAAATATTAAGTGAAGCAAAATGAGAGGGTAAAATATGATTATACGCTCACTTGGGAGGTCAGTTTGTCTGCACTAAATAAAAGACAATTTTTATTATATATAAAAATTAAATGTACAGGACCATCTAATTAAAACACATTTCAGCAGCACAGAAACTTGCACATAGCACCAAAATATCAAACAAAGTGTTTGCCGACAGGGCAAAAGAATGTTCTCCAATTAACATTTTCCTGTTTTAGCATCATATAGAATGGATTATACTACTCTATATATTTCTAAGGCACCCAGCCTTGTTGTATTTGGATGCCACTGAATCCATTTAGAAACAGATCAGATGCTTCTTGGAAGAGGAGCAAATCTCTTAACCCTCTTCCCAACAGATTAAATGGCTGACTTCAGAGGAATCAGATCTAGGCGGTACACTTTCTAGTGCACACAGCTTTTGCCATTTCACAAGTCTGTTCCCAGATGAAAGCTTG